CTCTGCTGGTCTCATTAAAAAAAATATAAATATAAATCTATAGATTTTAATTTAATTCAAAAAGTTAAATCAACAATTGCATTGACATTTTAACAATATTGTAAATTAGGAAAGGAATATCTCACCTATAAGCTTTAAATTTAATAGATGTTCTAAATTATTAATTTAATTATTTATGAAACTAATGCTAAGAAAATAATTATTACATACCCAAAGTCTTAATCTTTAAACTTTGAAAATCATAAACTCCTTTATTTTCCTTCTACAATCTTTGGACTTTCAACCTGCCACCTACTTTTTATTTCATCCAATGTCAGCAAAAATTAAAAAATTTGATTACTATACATTTTCTTTTTCATTATCCTGTTTGTATTCTTTAAGTCCAAAGTCTATTATACCCCTTCTGTTTTTGACTCTTAAAGCACTCAAAGCAATCTTCATTAAGAATTTTCCCACAGTACAAAGCCTAAAATAATTTGTTTATTGGACGCCGTTGCGTGGCATTTCTCAATTTGTTTGTAAACACTTAATTCCTCAGTCATGTCTGAAATATTAGTATATTTCAAAAGTATAGAATAATGTGTGAATGGACGCGCGCCAGAGGAAGCTGATTGAAGTCGGTCGTGCACTTTCTGCGAGCGCGTGTGTGTTAATTAAACCCAGAACGAAAAAGATGGTGCAATAAATTAGCAATTAAAAGACCGCAACATAGCCGTTGTTTTCAACTTGACCGTGGCCCTTGCAAGTAGGACTTGCGTTGATAAATTATGCATTTCTCTCTGCTCTTGTACACAACCGCGAAATAAATAGAATTTTAAAATCAGGCAACTCGTTTCGAAATAAGCCTGTTTAAAAGTAAATATTCCATTTCGTAATTTCATTTTTCTTAACAAAGCAGGGAAATCCCAAAATGATATTAATGTGGAAAACTGCTTTTCCATGTTGATTTTTGTACTCAAGCGATTAATATAAATAAAAACAAATTTGTTAAGAAGAATGAAAAGGCCCTTTTCTAAATTTTTATGGGCTAATCTTCATTTTGATAATTATTTAAGAAAAATATTGTTTATTGCACTGAAAAAAAATCAATTTTATCAACAAGGAAAAACTCCATGAACGTCTCTTCTTCACTGAAATAAATGAGAGAATTGGAACTTGAAAAAATAATTATAAAATGTTTTTTGCCAAAGGGCAAGAGTGGAAAATATTTCCTTCTAAATAAGCAAAGTCCTTTCACCTCTCTTTCTCTGGCATATTTGCACACACTTACATTAGCTACACTCGAGTTGTATGTATATAAAAAAAAAAACATGATATATGGCACATCCAAGTCACGAATTTGATGTCTGATCCTGAATGCAACTCGATATCGCTCAGTTGGCGCTCGTTGCAAAAAGGATTTTCAATTATTGTACAGAATTCACACTTTCTATACAAACGAATATTTCTTTTGTGGAAATAGAAATTCACTGGAATGCCCCACGATTAATAAGATAAAGTTCCTGGCGCAGGGCGTGATCTTGAATTATTACTTTCTCCACCGCTCAGAGCAGAATAATAATGCACCGAATAACTCACATTGACATTTCCAGCTTCAACTTGGCGCCAATTAATGGAAGAAAAATAAATGACTCTGAGTGAAATGGAGTCTGACTGTGAGGAAGAAAGCACCTCTCGTCTAATGTTTATATTCACGACCCAGTTACATTTTATTTTACGACCTTGCTCTTCAATCCAATGATCGGTCAATTAACGTCCTTTTTCTTCTTCCCAGCTCGACATTTATATACTTTTCAATTTCCCTTTCAAAGTTCCAGAGTAGGTCGCCGAGTGCATTGAATTTATTTTGCAACGTTATCGGTTTATGCTTTTCCTTATAAAGATGGAGTTTCATATTTATATATTGATTGTGTGCACTCATTGTCTGCCCCTCTGCGCGGTCGGTGTGTGGAAAGTAAAACCATGAGCTCATGATTGAGCATATTTCAAAACCGCACAACCACCCGCACGATTTGCAACTTGTTGGCTATGCAGAGCAGATTATAATCGTGATCAAGCGTAAAGTGCAAACTGAAAGTTGAAATGGTACCATGTGGGATGTAGACTGCTTGTAAAATGTTTGTTCAAAAAGGGGCTTTTCCCTCTCTCTGACTGTAAAATGAAGTTTTGCAAAAGTTCTACCCTCTCTTTCACATGCTTAAAAAAAAAACGACTTCATCGTGGTAATTTTTTTTTATCATTATGAATTTTAATCAATAAAAATCCTTGGAACCTTAAATTTTACAAATAAGTTCACTTAAGTACTTATTTTTGTAACAATTCTGTAATAATGTTAAGTTATATATCACACATTTTTTCATGTATGAGTAGAATAAACAACAATATATAATATATCAAAGACACACAATACAATGACACAAACTATATCTGATTGGATTCTTATGTTTTGTGGTAATCCTTTTCAACTTTCTCTTTACTTGGGGGTAAAATTTATAAATTTTTTGTTTAAATAAAATATTTGAAATATATTTTTTTTTCCAACAATATTAATAATTTTAAATGTAAAAATAAGATAAATTGTAATATTAAAATATTAACTTTAAGAAGTAAAAGATTTTAAAATTTGACATCAAATTGAAATAATGTATTAAATATATTTTTAAAAATAAATAAATAATTAATAAATAAATAAATAATAAATAATAAAATAATTGTTGTAGCATATTGTATTAACATTTGAGTTAGATTTATTTGCATTTATCTAGGAGAAGCTTTTGTTGAAGTCAAATCAAGACCTGATTTTTGCATGTTGTTGCACTCTGGAGTCTTTTACATTGGTCTTCGCTAAAATTTTCACCGCATTTTTTTAATACAGATTGTGCAATTTTGAGTTGTAACTTAGAATTACCTTGTGTATGTGTACAGTTCACATACGTGGGAGGAATAAATGTATTTAAAGATATTGAAAATTCAGTATAAATAATTTTGTTCAATGACTTACTTTAAATAGTTATGTCAGATTTTCACTTTGCCCTCGGCACTTGGTCTCAAAATTATTTGTTATTTAAAAATTTTCCCTGAAAATTTCCAGCAATCTTTCAGCAATAAGTTAAATTTGTTCCTGTGTAAGCTCACTTTATAGCGCTTTGAGGAGATGTGATACAGCGAATATAGTCTCTTTTTCCACATTGTGGTAGGCTCCAGTTCGTTCTTGGTGTTTATCGCAAAAAGTATTAAAAGAGAGAGAGAGAGACGCGCCACCTTAACCTCATTTTTCTCGCGTGCTAATTGATTTATCATCTTTCTCTCTTGTTGGTTTTTTATTTCACGGCTTGCTGTGTTTACAATGGAGAGAAGGATAGATAGCAGCGTCCGGCTTTTCCGAGAAACCAGTCTGCGGCATGATTATCGCCGTGTTCCTTCCTTTTTATTGCATCCATCGCTATGACTTTTTATAAACATATGTGCGAGCGAAGCGCCGCGAGCGAAGCGCATCGTGTGATTATTACTATTGCATTTGTGGCGGTGCATTCGTCCATTGGCACACATTCTCTCTCTTACTATCCGCTTTTCTCTCATTTTAATACCAAATATATAGCCGAGGGCATTGCTTTAAAAAAATTTATTAATTTCTACAATTTCCTGCCTGGGGAAAAGTATATTTGAATTTTGAATTGTCTTCAAAATTCATTCTAACGATGCATCTTTGGGAATTGATGCCATTTCTGATTCATAATAATTGTGTTAGACAAATATCCCCTTTTAATGATATTTTAGGATTTTATTGCAAATGGGATTAAAATTTTTAATCTTTTTCAACGATTTCACTTGCGACTTATTTTTCCAAAATTAACGCTTGAAAATTACTTATAAATTATTTTTTGAACACAATATCATCGCCATAGAAATATCCCTCTGTTTAATTTTAGATAGATTTTCTGGATGATTCACACAAAACTCACATTCAGTGATAAAATTCGAGAGGCCACTCTGATGTTTTAGTGACTCAGTTGATTAAATCCTGCTATAAAAGTATACAATTGAAGTTTGCACCTTCAGAATCCACACACGTAAATAATTATGTTTGCGTAAACTCATTTTTGATCACCTCGACCGCCTTATTCTAGTTTTTGCGCAAACACAATCCGTCTGCACTATTAAAGCAGAACGCGTCATGGTAAATTTAAACACATAAAGTGCGAGATCTCGCTTGGCCTGCACAGACTGCTCTAGTGCTCCAAAAAGCTAGGCTAGTTTTATTTGATTTTGCTTTATTTTGTATCACAAGGTGTGTAAATATTTTAAAAATGCGAAAAACTAAAAATCTCAATCAATTTAATTATCTTAAAATTATAATCTATAATTGAACACAGAGTACGAAAACTGATAACTTAAAAATTAATTGGTATTTTATTGGTTTTTTAGATTATGACTAAAATGATAGTGATTTTATACAATATTCTTTTTATATAATATTTATGCGTTTTTCATTCCCGCGAAATTTTTAACTCAAAATCTTTAATTTTTATTTGTATGATTATCTCATTGTATCTCAATACAAGCAGGGATTGCGTTTTGATAAAATAATAATAGTAATAAATAAATAAATAAATAATAAAACTAATCTGTAATGATCTTTACTTATAGTGGAAAATTTAAATTAAAAAGATACAATTTAAAGTTTTATTTCGCGACGTCTTATCATATGCAGTATAATATCAGATCTTAAAACATCTGCATCATTTCCGATAAAAAAGAGAGAAATTGATTCTGGGAAACTGAATTGTAGCATACGTTGAGCTTATGCCATCGGACAAAACCTGATTTGCGACAAAGGAACGCATCCAGTTAGGACAAACACAGCTATGCACTTCCGCATTAATCGCCACGGCTTTTTTGCATCGCGCGTCACACTTCCCTGCCCTCCCAAGCTAGAATTTTCTTTACTTTTTTTCTAGTGTTTTGTAATAAAGGCATTGTTTTTCTCTTCTGTTGTGCAGATTGGTGAGGCTTAAGGTAAAAGATGCTGCAGCAAATCTTGAAGGACTTGTGGGTGGACCCCGAGTTGCTGGCGCGGCTTGACGATGACCAAAAGCAGCAGCTCTTCTGCAGGATGCGAGAGGAGCAGGTGCGCCGCTGGAAGATTTGGGATGACGAGCAGGCAAAACTTGAGAAGGAGGGTAAACGAGCGCCACCCCCAAGAAAAAACCCTAAAAGTGAGTTGAGAATATTAAAGAAAAGTATCAATATGGAAAACAAATTTATTGATGATAAAGTTAAACTTAAATTTAAAAAGTTTATTAAATAATAATTTTATTAAATTATTTTAATTTGAATATTTAAAATTTTACGATCATATAATTATATTTTTTAATATTATATCTTTATTAGTTTGATGGATGTGTTTTAAGTTTTTAATGATGCAAGAAAATTTTCTTTGTTATTTCTTACCAACTGGTAAAATTAAATGTGATGTTAATTAATTAATTTGTAGTTATTTCGGGAAACGGCATTGATTATCTGGAAATGTCATTATTGTTGTTTTGTATTAATTCTCATAAAAAACTGAAAAATATTTCATTCTAATCAAATTTATTTAATCAGAAATAATATAGAGTGAAACGGGAGTGAAATAATAAGACAAAATCCAACAACGTTGTTCATGATTTTTATAGAGGAAAAGAAAAAGGTGCAATTTCTGACGAGCAACGATGGTGAGCCCTGGGTGTGGGTGATGGGCGAGCACAAGGATGACAAGAGCATTGAGCAAATCTTGGAAGAGGAGGCGCGCGAAAAGGCCATTATGCAGGCCAAGAAAGAAGCGGAAGAGCTCAGGTACCTTTTCATATCCACTCTTCTCCCTCTCGTGTATCACTTCTTCAAATGAGCCGCTGTTTTTCTAACACAAGAAATTTGATATCTCTCTCAGGAAAACCATCGAGGCAGAACTTTTGATCGACGAAGACTCGTGGAAGCCCGAGCCGAAGATCAGCAACAACAGACCAAAGGTTGCGCTCGACATTTACAACTCGGCTGAGGAGATCAAGGAGTCGCTGAACTTTAAAAAGCAGGCGCCCAACAACATGAGCCACACCAAACACATCATCACCCACTTCCAGCCTGACAAGGGCAGGGAGATTTTGCAGGAGCTGAAACTCAACAACAAGGTAATATTTGTTTATAAAATTTAATTTGAAATTAATTCATTTTCTGAACAAAAAATTAGCCAAATCAAGGAGTGGCGATGCGAGTGGCTCAGTGGGAGAACAGATTGATGGAGGAGAGATCCACTCAGATCTTCCAGACTCTGCAAAAGCAAAAGCAGGAGCTCCACGAGGAAGCTGAGGAAGTGAGCAAAAAAGAAGAGGAATTGTGGAGGGAGCAAGGTGAGATAATATTTTATCATTAAAATTAATTCAGTTTATTATGACAATTAATTGTAAAAAATTATTTTCTTATAAAACATTGCTGGATTTTTTTAGATAAAAATTAAACCTTTTTTTATTCAATCTCAGTTTTATCTTAAACAATTTCTGTCAAAAAGAATATCCATTTGATCAGCTTAATAGAATAATTTATTATTATTTTTTTTTTTTTTTAATTTCATAACATGAACACAGAGTATAAAATTAAGCCAGAAAAAAGGAATTGAATTAAAAATCAAGTTTAATGTCATCTTAATCAGTTTTATCTATTTAATATTTTAAAATTTGATTAGTAAATTTTTAATATAATTATTATTAATTATATTTCCATATTCAGAGAGAAAAGCAAAAGAGGCTGAGCAGCAAATTCGCGAGATTGCTCGTCGAGCAAGAGAGGAGCACAGAAGGACGTCCGTCCTCATGGACTCGACTCCCCCACCCTCCCCTGAGAAGAAAGTAGCCCCAGCAATTACCACCCCCAAACCCATTCTTGATGCCAACACGTAATAATTTATTGAAATTTCACAACTTTCATAAAAATTACAAATAAATTAATTTGCAGAAGCAATTATTCTACTCCAAACCAGACGGAGAACAGCATTGATCTCAGACCGCCGAACAAAGAGGCCATTTACGAGTGGTTCCACAAGTCGGAAGTGCAACGCAAGGCCGGAATTGATCCAAGCACAAATAAACTGGCAGCTTGGTTCCATGGTTGGTTGAATTTACTTGAAGTGACGCTTTTTGCTCACAATTTTTTGTTTGAATAAAAGGACTGATTACTCGCCAAGATGCTGAAGCTCTGCTGAAAAACGAGCAGATCGGCTCCTTTGTGGTTCGAGTCTCCGAGAAAATCTGGGGCTATGCCATAAGTCTGAAGGAAGAGGACAGGTGCAAGCACTACCTGGTGGACGCCTCAAATGGACACTACCAATTCCCTGGGGCTAATCAGTTAGAGCACAAAACTCTAGGTAAATTTGAAAATAAAATATAAATTACAAAAATGAAATACAACAAAATATTTTAGCCGTCTTATATTTTTAGATAATTTTTGTTAATCAAAATAACAACAAATTTCAAATATTTTTAAACAAAAAACTGAAGAATAATTAATTGATTAAAAAAAATGTATTTGTTTCATTTTTTTAATTTAATCCCTGAATAAACTTATCAATGACCAACACATTTTCTTATTCCATTTTAGGCGATCTTGTGTCATACCATAGCTGGGAGCCAATCACGGTCAATGGAAAGGAAATTTTGAAAAAACCCTGCCCTTGGCAAAAACCGCCTGAAATCTTCTCTAGCGTTCTGCCTTCTCAGAAGTCCTAGTTTAAGTGAAGATCCTTGTACCACATGGATTGATAAATATTTTTCTGTACTTTGTAAGCTTAGCTGTGTAGATCAATAAGAAAGTTGGTATTTTTTTAGCCTTTCTATTTGCTGAGTCCTTCACGTTCTCCACTCAGGAGAGATTCGGCACCAAAGTGAAAAATAATTATCCTGATTGCTCATAAATGTCTGTGTCTGAATAAAATGAAAAATCGGTTACATTGTGTGTGATATAATTATAATTTTGTGAAATAATATTCTTGTATTCAGTGATCATAAGTCTACCATGAAAATGATATAAAATAAATTATTCGTTAATTAAAAAAAATTTAAATTAAAGAAATCCCAGTTGCAAAAAATGATATTTAATTTATTGCTCGAAAAGAACTTGATTATTAAAAAGCTACATCTTGGCTAATAGATACAGAAGGTACAAATGAACAGTAAAGAAAATTGAAAATCTTAAGATGCGTTCAAGAATGGACCAATTTTCACTTCAACATGGTCTGAAGTTCGCCACTCTGGAAAAGGGCCTTGGTGTCGGTGCCTCCACCAATGCACTTGCCTTTCACAAAAACTCTAGGCACCTATTAGACAGAGAAATAAGTGGAAAATAGATCTTGATAAAAATAAATGACTCACTGATCGAGCTCCGGTCATTTCGTTGAGGACGTCCTGGATTTTGTCTCCATCGTCTCTTTTGTCCAGTTCGATGGGGGTGTACTTGAAATTTATCTTGTCAAAGACCTAGAAATTCAAAATAAAATTTGTAATTTCGGCTATGCACATAATATGATGCAATCACAAATTCCAGGAATTAAAAAATGGTTACATAACCCAATTTTCAAAAAACTAAAACTTCTGGTTTATTATTGCCTTTTTTATTTATTGAAATACCTCTTTGGCCATGACGCAGTAGGGACAGTAGGTCTTGGAAAATATGACGACCACATCACTGGCGATCAGTTCCTTGACCAGGGTGGCAATTGGGCCGCTCATGTCAACTGGTTCGGGCTTACTGAAAAGGAAGCCCATTATGTACTTCAGGTCTGGGGCTAGCTGCGTGCACGTTTAGCTTATCTAAAATGCAGACAGAGACTAATCAAAGGTCGCGGAAAACAGAAGCTCGGTACGTCTTATCTTTCGCCAGCGGATAAATATGTATTTAAAATAAAAGAGCCGAAAGTGGGCAAATATATGTATGTATGAGAAACATGCACGGCAAACTTAGTTAATCCCCGGGTGGTCAAAGTTACACAAAAGTTACTTAAACTAACTTGCACATCACTAAACCAAGTCTCTAATGTTAAGATTTGCGTTGAAATTTTTCGGAAAAGGCAGAGGAACTCACCAGGAAAAACGAAATAATGCTACAGGAAAGGTTTATTCGTGTTGTCACGATCAGCTGGGAAGATGTGGGCGTGGCAATTCGTGTGTCAGATTTTTGTCGATTTGTCGTCAAGCAGAGCGAACGTCAAAAAGTGCCACGGCTCGTGTTTTGATAAGCTTTCCCGAACGCGTTCGGCCACCGGCTGCCTCACGAGCGGCCGAATTCGATAATGAAGTTCCGAAATTGATTTCTGAAGGGTAATTCGGCTGTATCTCTGTTGGGGAGGTGGACAATCGTGGGCTCGTCTTTTGGCTCCGGCTGCCCTGATTTTCCACTCTCGTCCTCAAATTGCGTCTTTTCCTTTCGAAATGTAATTTGAATGATATATATTGCAGCTTAAAAGTTTTAGAGCAAAGATGCCTTTGCCCGGGAACGGAATCTACGTGGTCCAGGGGGAGATTTCCACCCTATTGACTGCGATGCGAAGAGGGGTCAGGTGGTCTTCACACAGCTATGTGGTATGTAATGTTTTGAATTTTTAATCCAGTGTTTACTTTCCGGGCGCTCAATGTTTGTTTTTGAATCTCTTCATAATCTTTCCATAATGCAACATTGCATTGTATGAAAATTAATACTGTCAAAGTATTTATTCTTTTTTGATTACAAAAATTTGTGATACATACATGTATACAATTTATCGTGCATAATTTTTTTAAAGGAAAATTTTGGTTAAGTTTTGGCCTCAATTTAATAAAATAAATTTATATATGTAATAAAATAAATTGAACCATTTGAATATTTTATTCATTTTTTTCTAGGACGAGGAACAAGATGCTCTAATGAGGAGCTTCACCGATTTGAAAGATGTGCTGAACCAAATTGGAGATCTGAGAGATCTGGACCCGAACCACTTTCTCGGCCCTTTCCTTGAAGTAATCCGGTCGGAAGAAACGACTGGCCCAGTTACTAGTCTAGCTTTGTCTGCCATCAACAAGTTTTTGAGCTATGGCCTAGTTGGTAAGGAAAAATCTTTTTCATTAAAAAAATAGTTTTAACTTTCTTGAATAATTTCTGCAGACCCAAAAGGCCGCAGCAGCATTCCAGCCACAGTTGAGAACATTGCAGACGCTGTCACTCACGCTAGATTTGTCGGAACCGACCAGGCCAGCGACGGAGTTGTCTTAATGAAAATTCTCCAAGTAATTTTTTCCCAAAAATAAAGCTAAATTTTCATTTATTTTGCTTTAGGTTTTGAGGACATTGATTTTGCATCCCGGCGGAGTTGCTCTGACAAATGAAAGTGTTTGCGAAATTATGCTCAGCTGCTTTAGAATTTGTTTTGAGACTAGATTGAGTGGTTAGTACTTTTCATTGTTCTTGAAAATTAAATTATTTTTATATTTTCATTAAATAATTTTATTTTATTTTGTAGAGCTCCTGCGTAAATCTGCTGAGCATTCTTTGAAAGACATTGTCCAACTCCTATTTTCCCGTCTGCCTGAGTTTGCTGATGACCACAGAATGTCTGGGAAGGTTCGTTATTTGAAAACAAGTTAACTCCATTTTTAAAACTTATTTTTAAACAGAAGCTAAAAATGAGAGCCAGCAGCATAGATGCTTCAAATCGAAAGCACAAAAAGAGCAAGGCAGGTTTGCGCCCGAAATCAAAATCAGTCGACAACAAAGAATCCGCTTCAACGTCCGGGACAGATTCTAGTCACAACGATAAGATCAATGGTATAATGCAAAGGAATTCTACAAATTTATTCTTATAAAATTCCTTGTAAAAGATGTTGTAAAAACGCCAGAGCCTATGACCGAGAGTCCTCAACCTGGTGGAAGCCTTGCTGCTCCTAAACAGGAGCACCTGTCTACAACTCCGATGACACCTGCGGGCAACATTGTGGACATGCAAGGGGCCATTCACCAGTCGCCTACAATTCCAGAGGAAGAAATAACTCCCGAGAGGGCAGTCAGTGCAGATTCGGGCCCAGAATCAGTTGTGGCTGAAACTTCCCAGGAAGAACAGGCCATCGAGAGTGAAGATAAGCCAGAGTTGACCGTACCTAGTACTGACATTGATTGTGGTCCGTGTGTTGTCATTACGATGGAGGATGCCATGGACGAAGAAGCTGCTCCAAAAAAGGAAGATGAGAATCAGACAGAGCAAGAAAATTTAGTCGCTGAGGCACAATCGCCAACTGTAGAGGAAAAAGGATACCAGGTTTGGCTTTTATAACACATTTCTTTTGTAATCTCCCCAATTTGTAAATTTTAGGCTGAGCTGCTTCAGTCAGAAGGTGAAACCGAAACAGTCGAGCTAGGCGAATCAAGAGTAGACACCAAGGGTGGAGATTCGGAGCCAAAAGGAACAGCTGTCGAAGATTATGTCAATGAGCAAGGTGTTGTATTTATGGCCCAAGATATCGGAGCTGAAGGTTCTTAAAAATTTTAGTCACTAAATTTTTATCTACTCATTTCTTCGTCCAGCCCCCTTGATCCCGTATGGTGTTGCCTGCGTTAGAGAGCTCTTTCGCTTCCTCGTGTCTCTCTGCAACCCTCTCGACAAACAAAACTCTGAGGTGATGATCCACATCGGTCTGACCCTTTTGACAGTAGCATTCGAAATTGGTGCCGACCACATCGGCCGCTACAACTCTCTCCTCAGCTTGATTAGGGATGATTTGTGCCGCAATCTCTTCTCGGTAATTTGTTAATTATTTATTATTTATTAACTTAAATTTAATGTATAAAATATTAAAATAATTTCAGCTCTTGAGTTCTGAGCGACTTTCCATTTTTGCAACCAATCTCCAAGTTTCGTTTTTGATGTTTGAGTCCATGCGGACACATCTTAAATTCCAGCTTGAGCTTTACCTCAATAGGCTGATGGATATTATTGTATCCGACTCGCCAAAGACACTGTATGAACAAAAAGAAATGGCTCTGGGTAAATTTTACTATCTAAAATTAACTTTAATCTCCATTAATTTTGAATTTAGAATCTGTTGTTCAGCTGTGGAGGATTCCAGGCTTGGTGACTGAGCTCTACTTAAACTATGACTGTGATTTGTACTCCCCCAATTTGTTTGAAGACCTCACCAAACTGCTCTCAAAAGTATAAAACTGTGTTCTTTTCTCACTTCCTTTAATACAAAATCTACGCCAGAATGCATTCCCCGTCGCTGGACTTTACAACACTCACCTACTTTCCCTAGATGCTTTGCTTACGATTATTGACGCCATCGAGTGTCACTGCCACAACAGAATATTAAACCAACGTCAAGAGGTCAAAGGTAATTTCTTTTCTTTTCGTTACATCCTTTAGCAAGATTATTGATTTTTTTCTTTAAGGGGGAGACATCGAGTCGCCTCAAACAGACGAATCTATAAAAGCTCTGGTCGAACAGAGCCCTGCTTTTGCCTTCCGAAATGGCAGGCAAAAGGTTTCCAAAACTATCCCAAGCCATGAGCAACTGATGGCCATAAAGTGCAAAAAGAAGGTACATCTCATTCATAAAAATCTTTTTTATATTTTTAATTCTTAAAATGTACAGCTTCTTGCCAATGGTACAGAGCAATTCAATTCAAAAGCCACCAAAGGCATTTCGTTTCTTCAAGAAAATCACCTGCTCTCGACTCCTCTTGATGAGAACGAAGTGGTTATTTTCTTAAAGGAAAATCCAAAGTTGCACAAAAAGATGATAGGAGAGTACATAAGCAACAGGAAAAATCTCAAAGTATTGGAAGCCTTTGTGAAGTATGCGCTCAGTTTACTTAGTTTTTCATCTTTATCTCTAATTTCATTTAAGGTCATTCGATTTTGTTGAGTTGCGAATCGACGAGGCTCTGCGACTTTATCTAGAAACATTCCGTCTGCCTGGTGAAGCGCCCTTGATATCCTTAGTCCTTGAGCATTTTGCAGACCACTGGCATGTAAGATTGAATCTTTTCATTTTTATCCAATAAATTTAAATTGAAAATGTCAGAAATGCAACAATGAGCCGTTTGCTAACGCCGACGCTGCTTTCACCCTGGCCTACGCTGTGATCATGCTAAACGTCGATCAGCACAACTACAACGTCAAAAAGCAAAGCATCCCGATGACTATTGATCAGTTCAAACGGAATTTGAAAGGAGTCAACGGAAATCAAGATTTTGACGAAGAAATGCTAGATGATATATATGAGTCAATAAAGTGAGAAATTTAAATTTCCCTCTTTATTTATTAATTTTTTTGATGAAAATAAATTCAGGAAAGAGGAGATTGTTATGCCTGCTGAGCAGACAGGCCTGGTCAGGGAGAACTACCTGTGGAAGGTATTGCTCAGACGTGGTGCCAGCAAAGAGGGTGTCTACGTCCACGCGCCTAACGGGTTGTTTGACCACGACCTGTTTTCTTTAATTTGGGGCCCGACCGTTGCTGCTTTGAGCTTTGTCTTTGACAAGAGCAATGACGCCACAATTTATCAAAAGTCAATCTCTGGCTTCAGAAAGTGCGCCATGATTTCAGCCCACTACGGAATGAGCAACGACTTTGACAACTTGATCATCTCTCTTTGCAAATTCACCACTCTGCTGAATTCAACAGAAGTATTTCAATTTTAAATTTTTTTATTATTTTATAATTGTTTGCATCTGAATTGACCAGACTCCAGATAATTTGACAATCTCTTTTGGAAGCAACACCAAAGCCATGCTCGCGGCCAAAACTGTTTTCAACCTAGCCCATCGACATGGGGACATTCTTCGAGAGGGCTGGAAAAATGTGCTTGACTGCCTGCTTCAGTTGTACAGATGCAAACTATTACCAAAGGCGTTGGTAGAAGCTGAAGATTTTATAGATCAGTCTGGAAAAATATCGCTAATCAGAGAAGAATTGCCCTCGCAAAAGACAGAAACTGGGCTCTTCAGTTCTCTTTACTCTTATTTGTCTTCGGGTACAATAATTTCTTACTTTTTTTTATTGTTTATCCCTAATCAACATTTCTTTTATTTTAAACCAAATTGATTTCAGAACCCACAAATTACAAAGGCCCCTCACCAGAAGATCAGGAGTACATAAAACAGGCCCAACACTGTGTGCGGGATTGTCATTTAGAGCATCTAGTGACCGAATCAAAATTTTTGCGGCTTGACTCACTTCAAGAGATGGTTAAGGTTAGATTATAATAATTGTCTGACACATTGAAATTAAATGTTTTCATTTAAATAGGCATTTATTATTGCCTGTCATGGTCCAGACGGTCATGTAACTTTGGAAAGTTCTTTTGACGAGGACGCAGCAGTATTTTTCCTGGAGATGCTGATCAAAATCGTCATCCAAAACAGGTTATTTATCAATTCTATTTAAGTAGGAAACATTCACATAATTTTTTACAGGGACCGTGTTAGCACAATTTGGCCTGCAATTCGAGACCACATCTACAGCCTTATCATGGGAGCCACTGCCTGTGACCATCACTTCCTGATGGAAAGATCAATCGTTGGTCTCCTCCGGCTCGCCATCCGACTGATGCGAAGAGAGGACATGAGCCCTGTGGTCAGTTTTCTTAACTGTTAAATAAGGACCAATTAATTTTTAAATTATGCAGGTGCTTCAGTCCTTGAGGATGCTTCTGTTGTTAAAATCTCAAACTTTGTACCGCGTTTCTCGGCAAATTAGCTTCGGGTTGTATGAACTTTTGAAGACGAGCGCTTCAAATATTCATTCCGAAACCGACTGGGCCATTATTTTCAACCTTCTGGAATGTGTCGGCGCGGGAGGACATCCTCCCAAGGTGGTTGGGGACAGTAGCCAGCCTTCCAGCGACCAAGGTAAGAAAATGATTTTCCAATTCAATGTTAAAACTTAAAATTCAATGAACATTGTAGATGAAGATTTCCATATTGTCAGGAAGGGTAAAGATTTTTATGCAAATTTTATTCCTGCCTGGAGTTAGACATAATTTAATTGCTTAAATTAATACAGGAGGGGCCAAGTCAGACGGAGAAATACATCCGACAAGCACAGCAGAGACAAGTGGCATTGGAAGCGAGAGGGGCTACACTTCCGATTCTGAACTTCAGTATGGTGAAAACCTGAAATCAAAAGCTCTTCATCCAAGGCCTCTCAGCCCAGGAGAACCGGCACCTAGTGGCTGCAGCAGCCCAGGTGGATGGATTTTGGTAAATCTCAGCATTGAATTTTTCATCAAAAATTTAATAAAACTTAATATTCAGGTTGGCCGAGAAGGTGAAATCCAACCTTTGCAAGTGAAGCCTTTCCCTGTTAACCAGTGCAGTATTGTCCACGAGAGAGAACTTCTGGCACACGACACACATGCACTCGTAAAATGTGTTGAGAGTTTGGCATTTTTGGTCAGAGACGTTGCTCACATCACACCATACAATTTTGAAAATTGCGTCAGGTGCATCCGCACATTTGTTGAGGCCAGCATCTTCAGCAGTAGGTTTTTCCATTGAAGCTTTTAGGATGTAAATTAATTTTTATTAATTTTGCAGACGACAAAAAGGTATCTGGCAAACCTGGAGCTGCAAGAGATACAAAATCCAAAAAGAGATCAATCACCAAGAAAAGGGTTGAGTCTCAAAGAAGTCGAGAAAGAGCACTGAACCCCTACGATGCAGACGAAAGTGATCCCGAAGATGTACCTAGCAGCTACCAACAAGTGTCTATTCAGGTAGAATATTTAAATTGGCCATAATTAATTGAAAAACACTGAAATTTTAATTCTATTGCAGCTATTGGACCTAATGCACACTTTGCATATCCGCACAGCACAGATTTATAAGTGGTGGTCAGCGGAGCACGGGGACATCTCTTGCAATTCGCTCTGGTCAATAGGTTGGTGTCCACTGCTGCAGGGAATAGCAAGGCTTTGCTGTGATAGTAGGAAGCAGGTAAAATATAAATGATCTGGCACGACCCAGTCAATATTTCTTTAATTTAATATAAGCTTAAAACTGCAAGGTCCCATTCTGTGAGAATTGTTTTAAATACAATAATTTCTAAACTAAGTAGGATTAAAATGGATTTTAGATGTAAATATGGCCAGGTTTAGAGCTGTAGAGGTGTATGTGTTGGAGCCCAATCATTATTTTTGTGTTGTATGAAAGGAGAGCTGGTTAGCACTCCCCTTGACAAGGATGGAATATAACACACAATTTGGTAAGGCACAACTGCCAAGCAGTACTTACCACATTTTTTTTGTAAAATTTTGGCAAATTTCCATTCTTGGACATCATATAATAATTGGCCAGTGCTACCAACCTAACAAGCACTTACAAGGTTCAAATTAAAAAAAATGCGTAATACCACAGGGCAGTCGAAGAATTTTGTGCAATTTTGTCTTGCGTTGAATTTTTATTATAATAATAAGATAAAAGTATTCTATTTTTACAGTAATAATAAAAATTTATTTATTATTTTTTGTGTGCAAATAAGTATATTGAATTCATTATAAATTATTTTTTCTGGTTCAGGTGCGAACAAGTGCAATTACATACCTACAACGGGCGCTCCTCGTCCATGATCTGCAAACTTTAACACCTGCTGAATGGGAATCCTGTTTCAACAAAGTCCTGTTTCCACTTCTTGCAAAACTGCTTGAGCCTGTTGGTAACGAGAGTGATGACCCAGCAGGCCTTGAGGAGACGAGGATGAGGGGAGCCACCGTTTTGTCAAAGGTAATTATAATTTAATTTCATAGTCAAGAAAAATCTTACTTTAATAACTTCCCATCTTTAAAGTTAATCATTGGTTTTCAAATTTGTATAATTTTAAAATTTAAATTCCAGGTCTTCTTGCATCATTTAACTCCACTTCAGTCACTTCCGACCTTCACAGCACTATGGCTTACAATCCTCGACTTCATGGACAAATACATGCACTCCGACAAGTCTGATCTTTTGGTAAGGACTAAATTGGGCGATTTTGAATAATTTCTAACAATTTTTTCCAAAAAACCAGAGTGAAGCCATCACCGAGCTGTTGAAAAACATGCTCCTTGTGATGGACTCGGCCAAAGTCTTCAGCAGTGCAGACGGCTACTCTCAATTATGGACCATCACTTGGGATAAGATCAGCACTTTCCTTCCACACTTGCGTGAAGATTTGTTCAAATCGCATCCTTCTGTCGAGGAACACCACCGAAGTCCAGATCAGGTGCCTTCTCCGACAAGGCAAAGTCCCCTTCCGGGTGAAACTTCTCCACCGCCCTCGAGTCCTCCACCACAAAGGTAATAATTTCAGATTTCCGTGGAATATTCAATCTTATAATAATCTAAATCAGTGCAATGCCTATGGCACGACCTTCCAGCATAATACTTCAGCCTCCGATGCAAACAGTTGCGACTCCAATTTTTAGTCCGACTACCCAGGTATGAATTGTTGCTGCTTTTTTAATTATAAATTTCATTTTTTGTTTCTATAAATTTCATTTTGTTTTGTTGTTTTTGTTCTGCATTGCTTTATTTTCCATCAGCCTTTACCGCTCAGTGCCGTCACCACCGCCCCGCCAGCTTTTCAGCCGAGTCCTGAGTCGCCTGACCCTGCATCCTTTCCCGTTTTTCCAAGTACCTATCCTCTGACCGCCCCGTACTTCATGCAGACTGGAGTTTCAAACTCGGTTTACACCCAGAATCCTACCCCATTCTACCCTGATTCCAACCAGCACTTTAGTGGCTTTTACGATAATTATCAGCAGGCACAGCAGGTGTGTTTTTGTACTTTTAATTTTGTTTTATTCTAGGCACTAAGTGAGAGTATAGTTATTTTTTGTTCTTTTTGTTGTTAAAACATAGCTTCAATCTAGTTTTGAGGTACATCAGCCCACATCAACCAACACTAATATCATTTTTTTGTCAGTGCGATTTTGCATATTTTTAAACTCTTTATTTCAATTATTCTTGAATTTGAAAACTAAACTCGCTCCTCATTGTCCGTATGAAACCATTATTTTATCTCTAATTTTCGGTGGAGATGGATTTTTTTTATTCTTGTATTCTTGATAAAGAAAAATTGTTTGTAAATGTTAAATTTTTCACTTTTTACTCTGCAGTATGTGCCAGTTAACCTCCCCGTCGCTTCTTCACCAATTCAACCAGTTCTGAACGCGCCGAACAATGTGACCGTCTCGACGCCGAGCGTTGGTCTTCTGTTGGACCCAAACTTGATGAAGGGCACCAGTCTGCCCGCCCTGCAAATTGTGTCTTCGCCTGGTCCTCAGAAGGAGGGCAATTAACCAATTGTCCATTCTCGAGTCGCACTATAGACCGCTATAGACATTCTCCAAACTGGTGATACACTCTGTATGTAATAATATTAAATACCCTTTGCTTGCTAAGAGGTTTGATTTATTCAACTTGAAATGTCTAACAGAAATAAGTAACCGTTTGTGCAGTGGAATCGTTGTTATCCTTTGGCTATTTTATTTGTTCAAAGAATAAGCCACTTGTCGACTCTTATTAAATTTTGAAAATATTGTTTAAAATAAATGCTTTTTATTTAATGCTGAAAAGCTTTTTCTTAAAACTGACAAAAAAAAACATTGAGATTCAGGTTCAGATAAAAAATTCAATCGTCAACTTCAGTGCATCTGTCGCATATCTAAATTATGCACTTCTCACACAGTCCTTGGTGTGGGTACCTGTCCTCGCTCTTGCATTTGGCGCTCATAATGTGCAGTTGAGAATAAGTTGAGAGAAGCATAAGATTTTTGTATAGTTTATCATTTTATTTAATAAATATTAATTTACGTTTAAATTAGCAATTTTTGTAATTGAAAAATATTATATATAAACAAAATATGACAGAAAATAGAAACCTCCAAACTTTCATCAAAAGATTATTTTTATTGCACATGATAAGAAGTTGCACCTGCAATTCCAACAATTAATAACGAGCAAAACAGATAGATGTTTTAGAAATAATGGGGGGCGATTCGGCGAACGTTTATGGTTACAAATTTTTGTTTTGTTACAGGCGTTTTGGAGGTTGAGCAAAGGTGATTGAAAAACAATTTTTTTTTCATCAACTGGCAGAACAAAATTATACATAATTCATTAGAGATAAGGTGCCTCTTTTTCAATAGCAACACACGGAGAATTAAAACTTCTTTTAAAATCCACCTCATACGCAAAGTGGATAATTTCGCAGCACAATTTATACAGATTAAGCAGCTGACTTCCATTTTCAATATTTCAAAACACATCTCATGTTTTATCAGTCGAACCCTGAGCTTGTGAGAGAGACAAAGATAACAAAATCATTTTGCGATTCGCGGCATCACAGGAGACAAAAGTGCAGATTAAGAAAAAAAATTGATTGAGCGACAACATTATCTATGTACGCACAAAAGTTATCAACGTGCATCAATAAATAAAATTACATCAGTTGAGAAAAAAAACTTTGCATGTTGAATAAGAGCGTGTCTTAAACCTACCCAGTCTGCTCAGTGGTGGATTTTGATTATTATTTTCTTTATCGTGATAAAAAATTATTTATTGAACCCTGCGACAGTAGAAACCTAAATTTCTGCACTTCTCGCATAAATGTTGCGGATGGACTTTGGACTGGTCGGACACGTCCAGCCCGTCTGGCTTTTCTAAAGGCCTCTGTTGAAAATTAAATTTTTTTGGAACATGTTCTATATATTATTTTTTGAAATATACCTGCTTGTGTGGGAAGACGTTGACTCTGCATTTGATGCACTCTTGGCCCATGTTGGCCCAGCTATTTCCGGACATCCACTTCCTTTTGCACTTGGGACATTTGTACTCCCCAAAGCATCTTTTCTTTCCTTGGTATGGAGTGAGACCGTCACCTTTTGGTAGAGCCTAAAAATTTAAAAACACAAATGACAATATGAACTTTTGGATACTGATTATTTTTGTTTATGAAAAGGGAGATTCTGTTCGTCAGGGTGTGAAATTATTATAAAAATTTTCAACGTCCAAGTGAACCTTTTAAAAAAAATTTTAATTAAAATTCAACATCAACAGCAATTTAAGAGACATTATAAAAAATTACTAAAATCAGAACTGTTTACTTATAAATCATATCTAGAAAAAATTTATATTAAAGTCGACGCAACACAATATTGCGTGAATTGCGGCGGTTGTATATTTTTATTTTTAAAATATTCCAGTAAATCTTCCTAACTGCTTTCAGTGACTGACCTGAACAAGTTAAAAAAATCATGAAAAATATTGAAAATAATCAAGTTTTTAATTTCCAATATATTGCAAAAGTCGCAAAAGTTCTCTACTTAATAATGAAGTTCCAGTTTACAGAAAATTTAAATTTTATGCCGTTGTTATAAATAATATTGATGATGATTACTGAAAAACTAATTTAAATGAAAAATGGAGCTGACAAAAATTGAAAAAAAAACTAGCCTTTATGAATTGTTTCCCTGAAATACTGCTTGCCTAATTTTTAATATAATTAATTATTCTTTTCTTTCAGCAGAAGGTTTTTGAGATTTTTGTTTTTGTTCCAAGTCATTGAATTTAACAAAAATAATTTTTCCTTCTTTATTTGTAACTGAAAGTTTTAAAGTAATGTTCGATGTTCGTCTTATGATTTTCCTTTTTTTTGTCGGCTGCACGTGCAGGTCACGCAATTTGAGCTACACGACCCGATTATTTATTTCTAGGTTCTCCCGAAATCATCCACTTTTGTTTCAAAAATTAGTTTGCAGCCCGGCCAAGTTGTGTGGTTCCGCAACAGTGTGGCTGTCGTTTCTCTGTCTTATTGCTTTTGGTGGATGTCTCAAAATATCCTCTCCCCTACTTTGGCAATGAACGGCATTGCGCTGCACGCCAAAGGATTTCGCCGCGCCCGCGCTGGCATCGTCCATCCGCCGCCGCGATCTCGTGTTTATAAACTTTGTACAAACGTCTTGTGGGTGGCGCCCGCCGCCAATAATTAAGACCCTGGAAATAGACGTGTTTTCGTCCTCGCCCGGACACGCAATTTACTTTTTTTTCTCTGCTTCAAAATAATTTTCCCAATTTAAGTACAAAAAGACAGCAATAAAATAAAAAATTGAAAAAAATTTATCAAAATTATTTGTCAATTTGCCAAAAATGAATTTATGTGAGCTTTTTTTAACACAAATTGAACCGATTCCGGAGGATGTTGGTTAGCGCAAGTGTCAATTAAATTAAGCACCTGCGGACAATCTTTGATGTAGTGGCCCTTTTGGAAGCACAAGTGGCACATGTAGGTGCTGGGCGGACTTCGTTTCATGGCCATCTTTCGCTCCACGCTCAGTTCGTCAAACTGTTCTGTCAATTCTCCTGAAATTTCACAAAAATTTATCTTTAAAAAAGTTACGAATTTTGCAAGAATCAATTGCAGTTAATATTTTATTCATTTAAATTATGATTTATTTAATTTAACAGGATTTTTTTTTTTTAAGAAATTCACTTCTCATTCAAGAATCCTGATCATACTCCAAATGTTTTTTTAACTAAAAAAAGTACATTTTAGTTTAAATAAAATTTTTTTTACTTCATTACTAATTTTAACTTTTGCCTGGAATTGACGGTTTCATTAATCTAAGGAAGTTAATGCAAGAAAATGACATATAATATAATATAATATAAAGTAATTATCAAAAAATAGAAGAGATTCTTTTAAAAGAAGAATATGGTGTGACAGAACGTAATTACCAATGCTGTAATTGTCGTTGTAGCCGTTCGCAGCGAGACCATTGCTGATGGCTGAAGCGAGTCCTCCAGGTCCAGGAGCTATTGGCGCAAAACTCTGCGACCCTGCCTGCATAGGGCCGTTGAACTCTTGGGGGTATCCTGGCGGCGGCTGGTTGTTGTACGGCGGGACTGGCGGTGGTGGACCCATATATGTGTTGATTTTTAACTGAAAAATATTTTAGAAATTGATATTCTGGATACTTTTTTTTTTTTGCTAGATTTAGCCAAATCAGGCCGACTCAACATAACATAAGGATACACGAAAGAAGACTTTCTTAATTAATTTTATGTATACACTTGGAACCCATTACACAGTTCTTTACTGTATTTATTTTCATGAAAGATAGTAGTTTTATTTAATTTTTTTGATATTTAAGAAATTTAATTCCATTATTTAATCAAATTTTTAATTTTCTTATTTTGTCAAAATACATTGCACAAAATTCATTTTAAAGATTGAAATAAAATTGTGGAAATGAAGTTATAATAGATGATCTAAAATAAAAGCCCTTGTGATTACAAATTTAATGAAATATAAATTTCTCAGTCATGTTTTCTTCAAGTTCAATATGAAGTTTTGTGATAAATTGCTTGTCAATTATGATGACTTTGACTCTCGTTAGAGTAGTATTTGTATTTTTTAATTGCAACAAATTATGAACCTGTTCATTGTGTTTCTGCGGTTGCTGGGCCCGTTGTGTCTGTTGCTCGGCCAGGGCCATCAGGATGAACTGGGCCTGCGGACTGCGTTGATAGAGACTGACCAGTTCCATGAGGTCGACGTTGGGGGGCGGCTGGACGGGCGGCATGGCTGCAGGCATGGGCGGCGGGTGCGACGACACCCAGAGCGGCGGAGGCGGCAGGTGGTGCACCGGGGGCGGAAACGGAGGCGGCGGGTGTCGGGGGTGGAGAGGCCGGGGCGGGGGAACGGCCTGCACCGCAGTCTCCAGTTCAACCGAAAAGAGATCGCGGAGGCGCCGCCGGCGAGGACGCAGCCTCACATTTCACGGGCTAAAATCGGACTGCCCCTCGCCACCCAAATGCACCCGCTCTCTCTCTCGCTCTCTCCGCATGCAGATTTATTTTGGCGAGCCGTCAACTCGCGCGGGCCGTCCACCCGAGCGGCCGACCAACACCGAGACCCGCCGCCACCTAACAAAGCATCGACGAAAATCTTCTCTTTAAATTTAAGAAAATTAAAACAATTTCTCATTTACTTCTGTATTTTGTACGTCTTTGACGTTCTGTTTTTAAAGACATGACTTTTTATTTAAATCTACAGCTACGTCTCAAAGGGGATTAAAAAACTAAAAACGGATTAATCTTCGTTGACAGTGACCTCGTACTTGAACCTGGAATTCCTCGTGAAGATTTAATTAAAAAATGTAAATAACGTTTGATAAAATTTGCTCAACATTTGGGGGGAAATGTAAGGAAATAAATTTGTTTTGCAACAAAAAGAGAAAAAATTTAGCAGTAAATTTAAGCATATATACAATTTATTTATTTTATGTTCTATATATAATCACCAGTTCAACCTTAATTTTTTTTCAAAACATTCTGGTTAACAACAACCTATTTTTAGGATTTTTTCCTTCAATCAACTACTCTTGAACAAAATTTACTTATTATCTGTTGTTTAAAATATATTGTATTAAAAAAAATGTCACCTCTAAACAGTCTATACTGAAAAAAAATGCTCGCCAATTTGGTATTTTTTATCTAAAATCGTCCGTGCGTGTCTGCAGCCGAAAAATTGCTCTAAATGTTTTTTTCCAGCCGAACTTAGCTTTACAGTAGGAAATAGCATAAAAAGCATAAAACTAAAACTTTAAATTAAAAAAAAAAAAAAAAAAATTAGCATATCTATCTGCATCTGCATTATAAAACCTAATTAAAACCAATTAAAACCTTCATCAATTTAACTGAAATCATCACCAGCTCTCTCCGAAAGAACCTTTTTGCATTAAAATGTTAATACTCCATTAAATTACATAATTTTCTCTTCACATAAACTCCCACCCTGATTATACAAAGGTATGCAATCCTCTGCACATATGAGATGAGCGGGCTGCATAATGAGTTTTTCCAGGCTCATGGCGGAACAATTAACGTCAATAACTCCTTGCATTAGTTGTTACAAAAATAGATATGTATCAGATCCTCTCATTAATCATCATAAAAGATGATTAACGTCACTAACTGTCACTTGAAAGAGGTAATAACAAAGTGTTAAGTGGAATCATTTGGTATTACTTTTTAATCTAATCAACACGTTGTAAAAATTATATTTAATTGAAAATAGCATTATGAGCAAAAACAATAAACAAAATTACTGAATTTTCAGTAAACTTGAACGTTTTATCACTATACAATTTTCTATTTAATCTAAAGCCTAGAAATTGGCAAGGGCATCCTAGAGGCTTTTAAAGTCTAAGAGAAATTCCAATGGTGATTGATGGGTTTGACATTGAGAATTAAAGTGGATCATGAATGAGCAAAATTCATCTCGATCTTTTGATTAAAAATAAGATTATTGTTCACACCTTTGATCATGACATCATAGCCGAGACAAAGGACGGTGCAGTTAATTCAGTTTTCCATGTATCAAAATTAATTTTTTTCTCCTTAAATTAGCTTATTGTTAGCTTATTAATTTTTCTTGCATTATTAATTTTTTTTATTCTTTGCAGCTCTCGTTTTTTTTTTAATTATTTTAATTAAAAATTAGTTAGACTTGTTCACGTCAGATCTATGACGGAGATTATACCTTCTATAAGTGACGGCACTCTACTCTCATGTTTACTCAGAACCAACACGAATTTTTTTATCGGCAAAAAGCTATTAATCCAGACGTTTGATTGATTGGCGTCGCACTCATTTTGAGCAAAACGGCAAGATTCAAAAAGCAAAGAAACCTTGCAAAGTATCAACGTCAACTTGAATCTCTTTTATCATCTGGAAACTCGATAACGAGAGTAGAAAAAGCCGATTGACGCGCAATTTTGAGGATAGTGTTCACAGTCTTCAGTCAAGATGAAGTCGTTCCTCTGCCTGCTGGCCATCGTTGCCTTCACTGAGGCTTTTTCGGTTCCAGTGCCCGTGGCGCCCATCTCAGATGGCGTTTCAGGAGGTATTAAATGAAATTCCTGTTTAATCATTTATATTTCCCTATTAATCATTTTTAAGAAAAATTCTCGGTATTCGTGGTTTATTTTTTTCCAAAAATTATTCTTATAATTCTAAAAATTGGTGAAACTTTAGTTTCAGTTTTTTTATGATTGTACCAATGGAATGTTTTTGTTCAAATAAACTGAAAACCTAATAACAACACGAATAACAAACCATTATATTTTCAGAAAAAAAAACAGACGGTATTTATGACTATAAATTAATTTCAGTGGTGCCTGGAAAGGAAAGCAGGGTTCTCGGTGGGTCCGTTGCCAACACCAACGAGTTTCCTCACATGGTCGCAATCTTTTCGAGCAACGCTTCTGGAGGCAACACTGGCTTCTGCGGCGGATCTCTCATCTCCAATAACCGCGTGATAACTGCAGGCCACTGCATCTACAAGTTGGTTCTTTTACTCTACAGCCAATTTTTCCTCGTTTGAACGCAATCTTTATATTTCAAAACTTCCTATTTCCCTTTTTTTTATTAATACTGGTATAGAATCTGAAACAAAAATGCTCCTCTAAAGAAAAACACGAATATTTTTGCTAAATTCTCCGTTTATTAACTTAAAACTGATCATCTGGAAAAGAAATAAAAAAGCTTTGTTCTTTATTTAGGCATAAGTTATTAATTTGAAAAAAATTGGTGGGTGAATTAAATTTTTTAGTCCAAAAATGTCTGTCTAAAATTGTAAAATCCTAATTAAGTGATTGAAATGGGCTATTGAACCAATTTTCTTAAATTTTTTTTTTTTTACTTTTGATGCTAATTTTTTACATGATTATTTCACAAGATAGACTAAGCATTAATTAAATTTGTTGGCTTTATGGGACTAAATCCTCTTTAATCTTTATTTTTTTCCTTCTAATAAAAAACATTTTTTTTTTTTAGTAACAGTTAATTTATTATTATAAAAAAGTATTTTCTCGCAAAAATAAATTTAATCCTTTTCTTTTTAAAATTATCAACTGAATTCTAATAGAAATTAAAAATTTATTATTTGAAATTTGGGCTATATATTTTTTTTTTAAATCTAGAAGGGACTTTCTAATTGTAAGATATTTAAAGGTGTAAAACACTGTACTTCACCGAAAATTTACAAAGATTCAACCAGAGGAAAAATATTTAATCAGCAAAATGAAATGAAGTTTCTTATTTTTCTTTTCAATATTCAAAAACATTTTCATAATAAAAAATTAATAGATGACATAATATTTTCAAGAGCTAAACTACTGTCGTAATACATTTTCTCAGGTACGACACCCATTACGTTGTCCTTGGAACCCTCCAGGCGCAGAACAGCAACAGCCAGGGGTACACGGAGATCAGGGTTTCCCAAGCGATCGTGCACCCACTTTTTGATATTTCAAAGTTGGACTATGATCTGGCCATGCTGGTTTTGGAACGCGCGATCACTCCCTCCCGTAAAACTTTTGACCACGTCGAAAATTAGATGGTTATTTTTTTTTAAATTATTCTAGTCAACATCAATCCCATGTTGCTGCCCCGCAGAACTTTCAACACCGATCTTATTGGCAAGACAGCCACTCTCAGTGGATGGGGAAAAATTAATGACGGTTAGTTAAGATCATTTAAATCGTTGAAATTGTGCTCAAATTTTGATTAAACTACTTTCAGACCCCAGTGGCTCGCTGAACTCTAATTTGCTGAAAGTTACCGTGCCGATTGTCAACAACCAAGATTGTTTCGACGCTTACGGCGCTGTTTATGTGAATGAGAGGAAAGTTTGCGTTTCTACCAATGGAGGACTCATTGGTGCTTGCTATGTAAGTAATTTTCTAAAAAAGGATTAGAAGTTTATCGAAAAAAATTGAAAATCGCATTTTTAAATCAATACCTCATATTTATTATTTTCAAGCAACAAAATTTGGCGCAATTTTAAGATTCCAGCTATCTTTTTTACTTTCAATCTCATAATAATAACCAACAAATTTTCAATTATTATTATTATTATTATTATAGCTACAGACTAATGCATTGCATTTCAAGAAAGTATTAAATTTTTTATTATTGGTGAAAATAAGTTGAATAGACTTTTTAATTGTTTCTGAAAAATTAAAAACAATGTTATTCCTTTTATATAATAGATGTTGAGCAATCGTCAATTTTTTTTATGAAAAACTTCCTTATTTGGAATTTTTTCAAATGCGCTGATTGTAATGAAATCAGACAAATCAATCTTAACTTTTTGATTTGCATTTCAGGGCGATTCCGGCAGCCCTTTGATTTACTACGACGCTGTGAATGGAGAAACTGTCCAAGTGGGAACCATGTCTTTCGGCGCCGCCCAAGGCTGCACCGCCGGCTTCCCGACCATGTACACCAGAATCACCTCCTACACGCAGTGGATCGCTGACAACGGAGGCCCCCCTGTCAGAGGCTAAATCTTATCACCGCTCTTATACATGCTGATATAATCTTTTTCTCATCAAATCATTATAAAAACTCTGGTTTCGTATGCGAAATTGGAGGCAAAATTAAATAAAAAGATGCATTACTGCTAAATATGTTGAAAATTCTGATTATTGAAAAAAAAAATTCTATCAATATCAATCAACTGACAAAAATTCAATTCTTAAATAATTCACCAATTTTGGAAATTTCTAAGTAAAATAAACCAATTTTGTCATTTTTAATTTATTACGAAGTTTAATGGCCCAAATGACTATAAAATAAAAACACCGGTATCTAAGTTAATTGGAATAATTACTATTACAAAACTCCAATCTTATTGAATTAATTAAAAAGATATTGATCATGCATATATCACATATCAGTACTTTGGGAAATTTCAATTATAAGAACCTTGAATGGAAAATAATTAGGTTGCAATCTCTTCAGTCGTTTTGATATCGTCACGCTTGCAATCAATTTCAAGCTCAATTAGTATTCAGTAATCACCAAGAACATGGAAAAGACGGTGAAACTTTTGCTCTGTGCACTGGGCATTTTGTTGGCGGTCGAGGCGTCACTTTTTCCCGCCGATCCGATTTTCGATGAAACGATTAGGAATCTGAGTACGTCAAATTAATGCATAATAGTATATGTATATACATTATATACTATAAAATATAAAATTTATATTGTATCGCGGCGTAAAAAATGCAAAAATTTCAATAATTTATTAGAAATTCTTCGCAAATCAAAACATTTCTTTATTCTGAAAATTTTTAAATACAAGTTACAAATATATTATACAAAATGTCAACAGTTATACTTCGTGAATTTTACAATTGCAGATCTGAATGGGAATAAGTTCGAAAAAGTTCTTGGTGGCATGCCCGCCGAAGAGAACGAATTTCCTTATCAGGTGGCCATAATTTCCACAAACTTCACAGACTATGATGGTTTTTGCGGCGGATCTTTGATTTCCAGCCGCCACGTGATCACGGCAGCCCATTGCATTGCAAGGTCAATATTTGAACAGATCGGAATAGATGATAATAGATTTCATGAAAAAAGGAAAAAGTGTATACATGCTCAATAAATATTTTGTAAAAATCAAGTTCAGTCATAAAAAATTATTGAGTGATTAAATTCATAATTACGTTCTTCATTTAAAAATTTTAAATACTTTGAGTATTTATTTTACAGCTTTGTAGCGTCTAGTGTGATTGTGGGCACGAACCAACCTCTGAACCACAGCAGCCCTGGCTATCTTGAAGTTTTTGACACCATCAGGACACCTCATCCTAAGTATGATAGCGGCTTGCTCGATTACGATATAGCCCTTTTGACTTTAGCCCGAGACGTTCCTCTTGGAGGTAAGAATTTTTAAACGCCTCAAATTCATCAATAATTCAATGATTTTTTTTTAGCAGCAATTAAAAAATTCAAATTAAATTAAATTATATATGAACAACCTCTGCTTAAATTAGAAAGATCAACTTATGATTGCCATTTTCTTCTGCAAAGAAATTAATCTACACTAAAAAAATTAGTTTTGCATATTTAAGCAAAGAGAAAAAATCTTGTGACACACACATTGCATATGAAAATGGAAATTTATTATTCAAACGATTTTTTAGAAAATATTCAGCCTGTCTTGTTACCTCGATTGAACACTAATTTAAATTTGGATGGACGAACTGGACTTCTCACTGGCTGGGGGAAGATCAATGACGGTAAGATTTAAATTTTTTTTAAATAAATAATTTTTTACTTACATTTTTTGAAGATCCCAACGGCTACTTAAGTGACGATTTGCTCAAAGTCAATGTGCCCATTGTCAACAACCAAAATTGTGTTAACGCCTACGGACCCATTTATTTGAATGAGCGGAAAGTCTGCGTTGCCACTCAGGGCGGCACCGTTGGTCCATGCCTTGTAAGATTTGAAATTTTATGCCTTCGATTAAAAAATTTGGTAAAAATTATAGGGCGATTCCGGTGGCCCTTTGGTTGTGTTTGATTCTGAGTTTGGCGAAACTGTTCAAGTGGGACTTGTGTCCTTTGGTGCTGCACAGGGGTGCACGGTGGGATTTCCAACTGTATTCACCAGACTCACAAGCTACATTCAGTGGATTGCAGACAATGGTGGCCCTGCTGTCCGGATATAATGAAAGTGATACAATACTTCATATTAAAGGTCTAAAATTGAATCGATAAACAAGCACAATAAAATAAAAAAATTCAGTAGTTTTTAATATTTTTAGCGAAAATAATTCATATTCTCAATATTAAGTAAATCGTAATTAAAAAATAAATAGTTGATTAATTTTTATTTTATTTTTTCTTTTATTGTATGAATTTTTTATAAATAATTATAAGTCTTTTAAGATAAGATTAGAAATTAATGTAGGAATTATTCGTTTCACGCAAATGTAGATTATGGATATGAAACAGGATAAATAGTGAGCAAAAATATTATCAAAATCTTTTTCTTATCACCAAGTAAATTTAATTGCTTATATTTAACGCTTCTTTGACATTCCTATCACAAAATTAATTAATATATGAAATAACCAATTACAAATTTTCATTCTTTTCTCTTTTTTAATAACCATGGACTCGTTTAAAAAAATCATTCCGATGATAATTTTTCATACCTCATTATTGTTTATTTTATTACGATTTGGAGCAAAAACGCAATTTTTTGATGGCATAAAGTGCTGGGTGCATGTTTAAGTCATGCTTATGTTATATGTAATTTATGGGAGGGGAAAAAGTCCGGGGTGTCCTCAATGACTCTAGTCTGTTCTCCCGCTTTTGGTAATAGGCAGGGGCTATGCAATTGTATTTTTACGCCTCTCTCTGTTGGTCGGCCATCGCGTGACAGGTAGAAAAAGGGGTGGCATTCACGAGGGTTGCACCGGCGGAGGGGGCAGGGGTGCGTCATCGATCGGTGCCTCGAGGGCCACGCCGTTCTCGGCGCCGACGGCACACAAGACGTTCTTCGTCCGAGGAGCAGCGGTGCTCTGGCCGCTGCCGGAGAAGCCAATTCAAATTTTGTAAATTCACCTCAGCAATTCGTGATCTGCAAGGAGGATTAAAACAAGCGCGGTTGGACATATCAAGGTGAGCCTTTCCACCAGTTTTTGAAACGTTTATTCTACGGAAATCATGTGTTTTTCTTTAGGTAATTTAAAAAAAAAAAATAGGGCCGTTTCTAGATTTTGAGAAATCAATCACCAAACACCATTCTTCTTTTTCCCGTATTACTTGATTCACAAAATCATTAATCAAATTTAATTTCTAAGAGTACCTATTATTTTTTTTTCGACGATTTTCTTGAATCGTTTTGAGTCTTGCGCAGGAAGAGACCAGGAAACCACACTCGTTACATAGGAAACTAGACCAAACAACGAAAGAAAGCGCCAGAGAAATAAGAACTGAAATCTGCCAAATTCCTTCTAATCATTCTTCAAAATTATTTCAACGTCAAATTTTTAAAATTAAATTTTAGACAATTTCATTATCTACTGAATATATGCAAAAAAGAAAATAATATGACAAGCTTTCGTCGGTTTCAAAATCAATAATATGACCTTTGTGCTGCTCTCACCAAAGTTGTAGCGTCCATTTAATAGAAAAAAGTAGTTTGTTGGTGCCGTGGTTTAGAAACATTTATTTAGTATAATGCGATTGCTTTAGTACAATGCGATGGAAATTGGCGATAACTGTGTCCTTGCGTGCCAAAAAGTTCATTTACTTTTTGAATGAAGACTCGCTGTTTTCGAAGCCAAATTTCTTGACATGATCGTTAGATTTATTAAACCCAAACAAATTCTTATTGAAAATTTTGACATTTTCATAGAGCCATCAGAGCCCCGTGAAAGGTTGAACTTACTAGTGAGAGGAAATACACCTAGATGTTGATTATAATTTTTTTATGCCCAAAATTAATCAATTTACAAAACAATTTAGGAGTTTGTTAGTGCATGGTTAATAAAAACTAAAAATATTCCCAATTCCAAGTTAATCTATACAATTAATTAATATAATAAGTTGGTGGTTACTTTTTTATTGTAATGTAATTTAAAAGATTTTTTTAAACCCAATATTGTACCGCTATAAATATCAATTTTATTTTATTTATAAAATAAAATAATACACATTAAAATAATTAAACCCATTGAAAATGTAATAAATTTTCTTTGGTATGTCAGTAATTGCTTTTGATCATAGCTTAGTAAATTGCCTTAATCTGACCTAAGTTTGAAAGTCTTTTTATTTTGCCGACACTATTTGAAGAAAGGTTTGAAAAGCGGAATACGAAACTCAACGCATAAATCGTCAATTAAACGCATTATTACGAGTTTAAAATCACCATCTCAATTGTGGCTAATGGACTAAAAGTGTCTGTATAAGCATTTTAGTTGATGGCCAATCTTTTCGGTAGATGACCCAATTAGTTAAAAAAAACATGTGTTGCGCATGTGAGCACCAACAAACTTCCAAACCCGAAAACCAAACAAACTAATTCAATAACAATTCGATCCACCCCATTGCGAGAGTGACTCGACAAAACCACCCTCTCCTCAGAGTGCATCGACCTTCCTTCCTTCCTTGATCCGAGATAAGCAAATAACATGATCATTCAGAGTTCAGTGAGTTCAACTTTTCTCGATACAATAATTATTCTTGGACACACACGTTTTTGATAACATTTCAACGAGAGAGAGTCCAACGGTAAAGACCTCAAGAAAAGAAGTCTGGGGTCAATGGCCGGGCGGTTTTTTTTTAGTGTCCATGCAGGGGCGGAATGACCAGCTTGACGGACGCTCGCGTGCACCATTAAAATATGGAAGTAGGACTGGGGTTGGTAATTTATGCACAAGACCAGTGGCATTTCGTGCAACGGAAGAAAAAAATCTGAAACAAGGGCCTGTTACATTATGCAGGGATGAGACCTAAAATGTCTTTAATGTAGTAGTTTTGGGGCGTTCGATGCTGCACGTCCTTCAGGTTAATTTTATGACTTCAGATTTCAATCTCAATTCAAGAAGGCTTGGAGATTTTAAAATATTTAAATTTTGTATTGGGCACAGGAACAATTGACACCAATTTTTTTTCATTCTCAAATATTTTAATTTTGTAGTTCCAAATACAATATCAAAGAAATTTATAAAAATCACAGAAATTATTGTTGATTAAAAAAAAATATTGATAAGTGGCTTAGCATAATTATGTAATGAATTCTTTTAAAAACTTCAAGCTTTCTTTTGATTTTGAGGTCAAAGTTTCTGGGCTTCCAAGTAATTTTGATTTGCATCTAATTGTAAATTGGGATATAGAAATAGATTTGCCAATATTATTCAACGATGATTTGTCATTAAACAATCAATTAGGGAAAAAACATTCAATTTTGGCACGATTTGGGAATATTTCCTGGACCTTTTCTAATATAAGAAATTTTACAACAATTTGCTATTGAGTTTGTGTACTACCTTAAAAATTAAACATTCTTCAATTGTTTCATCAATTTTGATTGAAATGGAATTATAGTTTTATTCAAGATAAATAATAATTTTCCAGCTGTTCATATACAAAATTCATTCGTATTGATCTGTCGCTCAACATCCGCATATTCGCGGCAATAATTCCATTCAGACACGCAAAATGTTTCTCCACATTCTTTCGCCTCGACTCAAGCTTTTCGGACGAATGAAGGCGTTAGCGTGTGGGGCCACCGTGCACAATTCACTCATATTGCACTACTTAAACCCCTCAACACAGCACATTTGAAATTCTCGTATTATCCACCTGCTCTCCTCTCACTAGTCAGGTGCGGAAGTGCCCTTTAAATTATTCACGCGCGTTTGACGTAAATGCTCGGGGGAAATTATTGTTGCTGAGCAATTGATCGACCTCGCGCCAAAAATAGCTTTATTCAACTTATCTTGTCTCAGGTGCACAACAAAAATTTATTTATAAGTAAGAAAAAGATTGAAATGATTAATTTTATAATTTTTAAATAAATAAATTAAGAAAAGGCACGATTGTTTTGAACCGGTCGAATTTATTAAAAAATCTTTATATAATAATTTTTTTCTTTCAAAACGTCCATCTAAAAAAATCACTTAATCTAAAGAAGTTCTTTACCCTGATTTAGTTCAAAACAGTTGTTTTAATTCCCATTTATTTAGAATCAGAATGGTACAATTAGCAAAGATCCAGAATTAATGAAACTTAAATAAAAAAACTTTCCTAACAATGAAAATTTAGGAAAATTAAGCAACAAAAAAATCATTAATTTTTTGAAAAAATTAAAAAAACAATGCTCTACACAGACTGACAAAGTGCTAGTGATACAAGATCAAAATAACTCACAGCAATCGCGTTTGGCTGCTTGAAACGCAAATTAACTGTGTACCTTGTGGGATCAGTCTCGTTTGTCAACGATTGTGAACCGAACCATGATGTGTTAAAAGGTGCGCTGGAAAAACACCATATAGGGCGCCCTATTTTTCCAAGCATGGAAGCTGCAACTACGTACTCGCCAGCATAATAGTTTGCTGTGGTACACAAGCAGTTCAAATGATATTTATTAATAGTAATTTTACGATACTTATGTTATTTGCAAGCAAGCAGTCGTGCTCTGATTTTGTATCAATTGTTGCTAGACGCAGTCCCATTGAGCAACAATGCTCAATTGCTTTGGCTATACTTGTTTGCTACGGGAAAAAAATAATTGGCGATAATTTAATTTTTATTATTATTACTTGAATGAAAGACAACAAGAAGTATTTTTTGTTGCATCCATGCTTAACTATGCCATTGCCGAAAGTCGTACTCATTTTATCATTGTCTGGAATAAGAGAAGGCAATTTGTAAGCAAAAATCGATTTTAATTTGCATTACCTTTTTTCAAATCAAAACTAATTTTGTAATCTTCCTGTTGCGGGGAAAAAATCTCAATTATTAAAAAATATTGGACGAAAATTTGTATAATTACATAAACGTTGCATTCTACATTATTCGGACAAATGGCAGTAGAAGGTGGTAGAGGTAATGGAACTTCCTGAAAATAAATTTTAATAATCCCTACACAATCATATTCGTCTGTTTCTCAACAATCATGGAAGTTTCCAAGGAGTTCATAAGTGAAGCTAGTGCCTCTGGGGAATTTTCCTGGCCACATTTGAGCAGCTCGGCTGCTTGATCGCACGCATCCATCCCTCCTATCAAGTTTTAAATACAAATTAGAAGAGCTTGGAAAAACCGCGAATTGCGGATGCTACGTGTTGTGTTGGTGCACATATCCATCACTGCGTATGATTCCATTAACTTTTTAACGTCATACGAAGTAATTGTTCCCATTTGAGCGTAAATAAGATCCTCCTTGAGCTTGCCATTTACGAGCTAAAAATTTGAAAAAGTTAAAAATTTATGGCTAAAAAAATTAATCATATTTTTCACCAGTCCCATTCCTTCACCGTAACATTTAATGAAGCACTTATCATGTATATTCTCCGGCTTAGTAATGAGTAATTTTTGCACTTGTTCTGCAATTGAGCACTTGTAGTTAATTATAATGTCGTTTAATTGAAAATAAGTATTGTAAGTTGTTTTTGTGGTTTGATATAGAAAAGGAGTTTCTCTATGAAACAAAATCCATTTGAAATTAAATCAGACGTTAAATTTAAAAAAAAGTTTAATATTTATTGATTTCTATTTATGTCTACACATACCTTTAGATAAGTGGTAAGGAATGCGACACTCTTCTTCTACCATTGCCGACAAAGAGCCCATTTTACTGCGCCCCTAATTTAAACCTCAATTAATCGTTGATTAGTAAAAAAATCATGATGATATTGTTACCTCGCAAATGTATTGCAATTGTTTATTACAGTCCTCCATGAAAAGTAAAGACGAACTTTGCGTAACTTCCACGGCAACGCAGTGTTTTGTTCCGTTGGAGCTGTCAGGCTGACCAGAGGCCCATCTTTGATTAATTAAATTAAAATTTTATACGTGAAAATTTCAATCAGCATAATATAAAATGTATTGCGATAAAGAAATTTGAACAGTTGGAAAAGTTTTATAAAATATTAATTTAAATAATTTGCAAATCATAAAAAAAAATAACTTTGCTTCATTTCGAATGAGACGGTTTGTAGAACAGTAGCCTGCATATCCAATGCACCCCGTGTCCGTTGCCGAAGTCCAAAATACATTTTTCGTCTCGTTTAAAGCTGTAATGCGTTTTTTTATATTAAATATTTAATAAATAAATTCAAATAAATCTGACCTGTTGAAGCATTTGTTAAAGTTTCAAACATGAAATCCTGATGGAGACTGAGAAGCTTCACTCCAATGGAGCAACATGCGGACAGAGAATCATTGAACTAAATTTAAATCTATTATGTAATTCTTATAAGTAAATTTTATCTACACTCTTTTTATTTGTTGCCAGACTAAAGACGTATCTTCTTGAACCCACGTCTATCCAATGGCCATGCTGTTTCGGGTCTAAATATTAATGAAATATTTTAATTTGAGAATAAGGTGAAATTCATAGAAGTGTTCATAGAAATTAGGAAAAGAGGGCTTTGTCCTCGTCGAAATTTTTTTTTATTGTAGCCGTTAGTTTTAATACTTAAGCCCGCTTTTTTTTTAATTTTGAAAATATAATTTCTATGCACTAATTTTATGGCTTGTTAATTCATGCAAAATGAAAACTCAAACACAAATCTCATACCTCTTAAGTAAGTTGTGTCCGGATCATTTTCCATACTGGCGTAGAAATTCTTCTATTGAATTAAATATTCCTTCATTTAAAATAATAATAATATTTTAGGGATATTAAATTATTCATAATGCAAATAAAGTTAGCTTGTGGTATTTGCTGGAGTGCTACATTTCATTGTGAATATCCCCGCAGTTAATGCTTCAATATTGAAAGAGATTCTTACATCTTTTACACACTGATAATTTGGACAAGTAGGTGAAGTGCAAGATGGTTTTGGAGTTGGAGAGCCCTTTTGAAAAAAAATACATAAAATTAAATATTTATTGGCGAAAATAATAAAGTGCCTGGCAAGCAAAGGCCGTGACATCAGCGCAGGGTTTGTCACTAAGGAAAACGGTGCTATACGTCCTACTAATTTTCATCTGAATGCAGTTTTCTGTTTTGTTCAGGTTGTTTGGTTCATCGGTGTCCCATGCATTTAATACACTGCTATTGCTGCCACACCACCCTAATTCGGTTGCATTAGAGCGCACCCCATACGTCCAGTATCGAGAGTTGTACTTCCAATTGTACCCTTTTATTTAACTAAACTTTAATTCTTCAATATGAAATGTCATTTTTACCATTAATGAAAGTGTTAAAACATTCTTGCTTAGCACTGCTCTCAAGCATGATTGGTTGCATGTTAAGTTTGCAACAGAAATCCACATTTTGCTCCCAATTAGCCTTTTTATGGTTTTTACTGAATATAAATTAAATTTCAATTAATCTTTTACCAATCGCTTTCCAAAAACGAACGACTGTCCACACGCCTCTGCCCAAAATCCATGACTAAGGGGGTCTAAAAATTTGAAGCCATATGGTATTGGTATTCTTCAGACGAATGTAAATTTATACATTTTCATTAACTAACCAATTAATGTTCCATCTTTTGCAAAGAACGACTCCTGCTCTCAAAAATTATTAGATAATTATGCACTTTATTAGTAATCAATATTTATGATTACTTGCCTCTTTGGAACAAATTGTTGGACACACCGGAAGCACCTTATGATTTTGATATAATATATAATATTGAATTTTATTTTTAAATTTTTGTATTAATATTTTATTGATCGACCCCAAATAAACCTTTAAAAACATTCCAGCCTAGCCAAAATGTATTATACAAATACATGTTCGCTTCAAGATACTTATAATTCAACATAAAATAATATGAAGTTTTCAATGCAAATTTCAATTTATTTACCTTTGGGATTAGAGTTGTTGGGATTAAGATGGGAGTTGATGTGAATTTTGTTGTTGGGTTGGAGATTGTAGTTGAGGTAATTTTAGAGTCAATTAATGTTGTAGATTCAGTTAGTGTTGTAGTTTGAAATAAAGTTTTAGTATCCATTTGATTCAATAGGTTAGTTGTCTGGGTCAAAATATTAACTTGGGTCGAGTCACTGCGTTGCAATAGGGCTGTGGTTGTTGTCGTCTAATATGTGCATTAAATTTATAAATATTTCGTAATTTGATCTTATACAACCTCTTTGTGTGCTTTTGTAGAATAATAAGTAACATCATCGATTTGAGTTATGGGCTTTTGTGTGATTTCTTTTGTCATTTCTTTTGTAGTGAAAGTTGCAGATATTATTGCAGTTTGATCAAAAATGTTTGTGGCTAAACTAGTCATGCTGCTCGTAACTAGTTCAACTTGACTGCTTGAAAGGGAACAATGATTCATTTTTAGAAGTTTTTTCTGTAAATTTTTAAAACCTTAAATTTTGCACAGTGTAACTGTTGTGTTGTCTTGGATCAGTCTTAATTTTTGTTGCGTGATTTACACATGAATTCTTCCCACAGCACTTGACAATTAATTGTCTTCTTGAAACTCTTCCAGCGCTTTTTCCTGAACGAACTTTGGCGCAAAATGCTAAATCAAGCTAAAAATTTCAAATTCAAATTATTATCGACTTAATAATTTCATTGGAAATATTGTAATACACACAATTGTTAACAAGCACAAAGAAATTTTCCAAAATTTTAACATCTTTATATTTCCTGAACGACTGCTCGGCTTATAATTTGCAAACGTATTGAAGCTTTGCATCGCCGGGAACACAAAGTGGAAGTGATTCTTTTTTTTCATGCATAAAAACCCTGTGACAAATGGCAACTGAAAAATTGAAAAATGGTTTATGTTCTACATGTATCGGAAGCCATTCTGCTACATGTCCGTAAAAACTTGACATTAATAGCAGTGAAATGAACATTCAAATGAATAATGCTAAAAGGATGAGACACGTACGGGGAGATCGCCACCTGCGTCACAAAATATCAAGCTCATCAGTCATTGGATTTAATTTTGGGTTAATAATTAAATTGAATTATTTGAAAAAAAATTATCTTCGGAAATTTTATGTAAGATGCTAATCAAAGAAAAGTTTTTTTAGACCAATCAATATTTTTATAAAATGATTTCATAAAATTTTGGACGGAATTGTTTTGATTTAATTTTTTTGTCATAAACCGATTTATTCACATAAAAATCGTCATGACTTTGATTGAAAAAAATTATTTTTGATGCATTTTTAATAAGACTTCTATTTGAAGCAAAATGCGTGTAGAATAAATGAAAAAAAATATACTACGTAGTAAATTTTTGTAAAAAAAAACCGGATCATAGTATTTGTTAAATTGCAATTTACTATTGTGATATTGAGGAATCAGGCATAATAACTTATGTTAAAATATTTTATCAAATTACATAATCCAAATGTTTAATATTATTTAATTATCAATAAATAATACTTACATTGATTAAATTTAGATGTACGCATTTTTTTTTTTATTGAAATTTACAGTTAATACAGCTTTTCAACTGCAAGCGTACACGTGCATGCGTAATTTTTATGTTGGTGCTGGATGTGCTGGTCATCAACCAACGTTTCCGCTCTTTGGAAAAACTTTTTTGTCACATAGAGCTACTGCAAATTTTCCAGCTAGAAAATTATTATTTCCTTTGATACAGAAATCCCCTAGAGCTTAGAAGCAAAATAGTAAGTACCTATAAACCACAATGCAAGGCGATTTTGGCTAATTTTGAGCCTTTTCGAATTTAAAAATGTAAATGAAAAATAAACTGATTTGTCTTTTCAAAATCAACAATGAAATATAGCTGCTATAAGCTTAAAAAATTTAATTCAGTCAATTTGTATTAACTTTAAATCTGCATCATGTTGATAAAATATCATGAACTATTATGACATTTTCCAAGTTTGAAATTAAACACTCACAGGAAATAGTAAATTATAATTAAATTTTTATTACTTGAAATTCCAGAATATGATTCCATTACAATTGATAAAATTGCTTCATGAATTTGATTGGCAATAAGTTGAATTTTTAACTGTTAAGTTAATGAAATCGACGTTTCAAGTTTCAATAGTCAAACAGACTGACATATAGCTCGTGGAATCATGTCAAAGTAGGCCGCGGCTGTTGACCGTGGTGGCTGGAATCGCATGTTAACAGTGAATTTTGTGAGGTCAGTTTCTACGGTCAACAATTCAGAGCCCCAGGTTACATTAAATGGTGCACTTGAGAAGCACCACGCCGGTTTACCCATTTGACCAAGCATTGAGGCCGCAACAGCATACAATCCATCAGCAAATGCAGCTACAGACCACATTAATTGATTTCACTAAAGACGATCTTTCAATCTGAATTTACTTATATTGTTGGCGAGCAAGCAATCATGCTCAGTTTTAGTATCAATTGTCGCAAGCCGCAGACCAAAGGAACAACAATACTCCATTGCTTTGGCAAAAGTAATTTGCTAAAAAGAGGAGGAAAAGTAAGATTTTCTACAACAAATATGCACAAAGACGTACGCTCTTAAAAACAACTACCAAGTATTTTTTGTTGCAGAGTATCTTGACTAAGGCGTTACCCTTTGTTGTGTTAAGAAATTCATCATCTGACAATAAAGAAAGTTTGTAAAGATCAGTAAAATCAGACATTACAAGTTTAGAAATTACGTAGTTTTGAATCAAAAGACATTTTTAATACATCCTGTAGGTCAGAAAAATTCAATTATTTGAAAGTGTTAAATTTGATTGTTCACATCTGTGACGCAGTTGAAATTATTTGGACAAACAGCCGAGGTTGGAGGCAGAGGTATAGAAATCTCCTGCAACATTTTTTTGCATAAATTTCTGGCTAATTTATTATTTTACTTTCTACGAACCATCATGGAGGCTTCCAAATTGTTCATCAATGCAGTTATCGCCTCTGGAGAGTTTTCTTTGCCGCACTTGAAAAGTTCGGCTGCTTTGTCGCATGGATCCATTCCTCCTTTATAATGAAAAAAAAAATCAGAAAAAAGCAAAAATTGATTGATATTGTATACTGGTCGTGTTGGAGCAAGTGTCCATCACTGCGTATGATTCCATTAACTTATCTATGTCATTTTTTGATATCAAAGACATCTGCGCGTAAATCAACTCCTCCACAAGCTTGCCATTTACGAACTGCCAGTTTTTTTATTATCAATATCATACATTGATTTTTTTTTCATTTTACCACACCCGTTCCTTCACCGTAACATTTGATAAAACACTTTTCATTCAAATTTGTTGGCTGGGAGGTCAGCAAATTTTTCACTTGTTCTAAAATGAAAAATTTATTGTTTTCCATTCTGCTGATTTATAAATTAAACCCCGCGTTAAATTATACGGTCCGCGACACTCCTCTTCGACCATTGAGGCTAAAGAACCTGATTGGCTCCTTCCCTATGTTAAAAAGGATTGAATTAAAAAGTTTGGAAAAGTTACGAAATAATTACTTCGCATATATATTCAAGTTCCATGCCACAGTTTTCCATTGAGAGCAAAGATGAACTTTGTGTTAATTGTAGAGAAACACACGGTTTTGACCCATTGACGCTGTTTGGCTGGCCACGCGCCCATCTTTCAATATAAAATTGATTGTTAAATAAGACTGAAAATCTCGTTAAAAGTATTTTTTTTTCCTCCAAAATTTATTCTGACAAGGGATCCTGGCGAATTATACCATTTTGATTCAAAATATGTTACAGTAAAAATGACCTTTATGGAATTTTACCTAAATTTTTTAGTATTGCTGTGACTTGTTAAAATTTATAAACCCTATAAACTGTTGCATATTTTTACCACAAAAATTACAAATTACTATTTTTTTCTGTTTGGAAATAGCATGTACAAGTAAAATTGTAAATTCAGAAAAATTAAAAAAAAAATCAAATCCGAGTAAAGCATGCGAAAAACGTTACTTTGCTTCATCGCGAATCAGACGATTTGAAGAGCAGTACCCTGGATATCCTATGCACCCCAAATCTGTTCCTGATGTCCAAAGCTTTTTTGGCGATAGACGTAGAACTTGAATATCAATGATTATAAATACTGTGCCCGATATTTTATTTATTCGATCACCTTTTGAAGCATTGATTGTGAAGTCGTAAATAAAGCTCTGATGGAGACTGATGAGCTTCATGCCAATGGAACAGCAGGCAGAAAGAGAATTTGTAAACTGCAATACAAATTGGAGAAATCCGCGAAAAAAATTTATTCATCATACGTTTCGCTTGTCTGTTGAATTGGAAAACATGTATCTCATGGTGCCCACGTCTACCCAAGTGCCATGAAATGTAGGATCTATTTAAATTGACAGAGAATTATAAATTTAAACTTAAGATTCCAACGCACTTTTCAGGTATGTCGTTTTACTAGTATTTGATAGAGACACAAATAAACTTGACTGATGAATTAAATACTTTAATGTTTGCTTGGTTTCAAAAATTCAATTTCTCACGTTCACTGTACAACTATAATTGGGACATGTTGGAGCCTCACAAGGAGGTTTAGGTGTTGGTGGGCCCTTTTGAAAGAAAAAAGTAAAATCCGTTGGTATGAAAATAATTATTGAAATACCTGGCAAGCAAAAGCTGTGACTTCTTCGCAAGGTCTATCACTAAGCAATGCGGTGCTGTCCAATTTAGAAATGGCCATCTGGACGCAGCTTTCAGAAGAATTTGCATTGTTTGGTTCATTGTAGGCCCACGCGTCTCTTGGTGGAACATTTGAACTCTTGCAAAAATATGTTGCCTTTTTATCTTTGCGCAAACCAAAAGTCCAATATCTAGAATTGTACTTCCAGTTTTTCCCTTGTATCAAATTTGAATGAAAGGAAATTTTTATTTAATAATAATTATACCATTTATGAAAGAATTGAAGCATTTGTATTGGGTAGCGTTTTTCAATGAAATAGGTGCCATGCCTAGGTTGCAGCAGTACTTTACATTTTGTTCCCAATTTGCCTAATCCATCGTTTTAAAAAATAGATCATATTTACTGCTCAAATTTTTGCTTACCAGATGTTTTCCAAAAACGAATAAATCTCCACAAGCTTCAACCCAAAAGCCATGACTTAGAGGATCTTTTTTGCAAATGATTATAATTTTTACATTGCATTTATACTGCATAATAAATCAAACCAATTAAAGTTCCATCTTCAGCAAATAAATCTTCCTAAAACACTAGGATGTGAGTCAATGCGAAAGATTAATCGAAATTACTTGCATCTTTTGAGCAAAGTGGTGGACAAGTTTGAAAGACCTGGATAAAAGCAATTATGAATACTTTCCAATAATTTAAATAGAAGAACCTGAGGTTTTTTGGTAGATGTGGTAGATTCTATAGGTTTTGAAGTAGTAGTTGTGATTGAATCGCTGCTGAATTTTGAGGTTGTTGGGGATGACTAATTTTCATAATTTACAAGTAGTATAATAACAATTTATTTCAATAATCACAGATAAAAATACTTCTTGCCACGTAGAAACAGAAGTAAGTTCTATTTGTGTAGTCTGTTCTTCATTCAAATCTGAGCTGGGAGTGCTAAAAGTTGAAACATAGGCAGCAGTGCTACTCTCTTGTGCAAGTTCTGAGCTGCAATAAATTGTTCAAATATTACCGTTCCCATCAATTTTAAACTTCAGTTAAGAGAGTTGATTTAATAGCAGAATTATATGTTTTAAAATTAAAAACCTAACATCAGGAGCTGATGTTTCTTGGACCTGATTTGTTTCAACTGTTGAAGAATCGTCAGCATTGGTTGTAGTTACGAATTCAGTTGAAGAAGTGCTCTCTTTTTTACTCTAATGTTTTTATAAGTTGGATTAAATAATTAAAAGAAATCGACATCTGACTATTTCGTGGCCATTTGATGTATTCGTTATTATGAGAATATTTGTTCGAGAAGTTCTAGGCTTTGCTAAATTGATACACGAACTTTTTCCACAACATCTAATAATTGTTCGCCTCGTTGCATCTTTGGAACGTCTGTGAGTTTTAGCGTTCAGTATCTGAATAATCTGAAAAAATAATTAGAAAAAAAGTCAAATTAAGCACAAGGCGACAAAATTTACGCTAAAAAATAAAAGAAAGCTTAGAGAAATTCGCTTCCAATTGGCCATCCTCGAAATCAAATAATTGGGACCGCAACCCAGGCCTGGTGGACAAACGAATGGAAATTTAGTAGTTTTGTTTCGCCGAGTTGTGCGTCACAGGCAATTTTATAACATGGGCATGTTTTGAAATTTGGCCGTATCAAAATGTTTGTCGATGCGGATTCCAGCGGAAATGAATCGCAGTTCGTCAACATATATGTATGTCAACATCAGTTTCAATTTAACAACAGTAAAAACTGAAGTAAAAAGATATTTCATTACCGGGAGGTTTCCATCGCTATTTAAAAAAATAATAAAAGATGCACTTTTATTTGTCAGTTATTGTAGATTTTTGTCAGTTTAAATTCGACGGAAACATGCAAAAACTCTAACTTTGCACAGGGCGGAAATGCGTCACCAGTAATATAGACGAACAGATGGAAAAGTTATTTTTCAGAATTGGAGATTAGGAGTTACAATGGCAATCTTTATCATAAAAGTTTATGGTTATGGTGAGAAGCAACATTTTCTCCTGGTGTTAGATTTATTGCAATTTGAAATTAACGGACGCAGCAAACTTTGATACATAGAGGGATGAAAATGTGCGGCACCAGCCAGCTGGCCAGCAGATTCAGTTTCCCAGGAATGGAATTGTCTGAATATGGAAAAATTGTATTTTCAGAAATCATCATAAAAAATTAGCTTATGTCATTATAAAAAACAGTTTACTTGGTAAATTTAATACATTGAATTAATTTTTCTCTCCTAAAATCATAATTTTACTGTTCTTAATTCAACAATACTTCTATGATAATTCTTTCTAAAAATCAGACTTGCCTTTTGCGAAACAACGTGCACGCAAGCTATAGAACTCAATTTTTAGTGACATTTTCACTTTGAGCGCTTTCCTTCGATCTAGACCCCTGACTAGCACGACACGTAATTTAGGGGACGATTCTTCATGGGGTATAAAAGCAATTACCGCTATAAGGAAGAGAATGCACACGCTATTTTTACGCGCCCTTGGAGACAGGTTTTGTCACGTAAAACATTGAAGCTGATGAAAAGAGGACTAAAGAAATTGTTTAAAATTGATAACGAGTTGTATTAAGTCCTTTTTTAATCAAAATGACCAGTACACAATTGCCGTTTTGAAATTTTGATGTTTCTTCATCTTTTAAAATGATACTGTGAATGTGTTGAGAGAAAATTGCTATAATTACGGGGGAATAAACAAATATAAAATTATTAAAAAAAGCTGCAAAGAAATTCGTTTTTTAATCATGTGTTACTGCTTGTTTAAATACTAGAAGACCTTCAAAATATAAAAGTAAAAGTCATAAAGGTCAAGTTTTTCAGCGATGAAAAAACGGAACTCGACGTTTGTTGTTTCCTTCATTTCTTCGTGCAAATGGGATAATTCTTTTATGGCGATATTCCCAGAATATTTTCAAACATAGACGTTCCGCGTCACGCTCGCGTCAAGCAGGTTGCATAGTTTATGCGAGAACACCTTATTTTTGGCCATAAAATATCTCTCCTTATTACTTTCCCCCTAAATTTTGTATTCTAATTTTGCTGCTGATGATGCTAATCGAACAAATTCGGCAACGGATCTGGTTTCCCACGGTTCAACTAGTTTATTTTTCCTGGATTATTTAAAAGAGAAAATCATCACGACGTAGAAAATCCGATCAATTATTTCTGTTTGCTATCACGCGAAAATTTTTCATAAGAGCGCAGCCGCCATGCGTTCCGTGTATTTTCTCAGGTGTTTTTTCTTCATATATTTTTTTCAGCTGTTTTGAGGGAAGGCCATGAGTGTTGGCGGAAGGCGCGCCGGAGGAGCATGGAAAAGTACGAAACTCTCGGAGTAGTTGGCGAAGGCTCGTACGGCCTCGTGCTGAAATGTCGGCATCGTGAGTCTGGACAGTTGGTGGCCATCAAACGCTTCCTCGAGACCGAAGACGACTTGGCCGTCAGGAAAATGGCATTAAGAGAAATCAGGATGTTGAAGGTTTGTCAAATGGAAAAGTTTTTAACTTCAAATTTAATAATTAACTAACTTTGTTTTTTTTTTAAACTTCAATTCAAAATTATTTTTGTTGTAGAATTTTCTAATTTTTGTAACAAATTTTTCATACAGAAATTACGGCACGAAAATTTAGTAAGCATGTTGGAAGTTTTTCGGAGGAAACGACGCTTCTACCTGGTCTTCGAGTTCATGGACCACACCCTGCTAGAAGAGTTGGAGGAACGCACCTCCACTTCCTGTCCTGGGCTCGGCGAGGCCACGGTGCGCAGACACGCGTTCCAGATCCTCCGCGGCCTCGACTTCTGCCACTCGAGCAACGTAAATATTTTCATTTTCATCTTCGATTTTATGAATTTTTTGTTGTTTACTCTCAGATCATTCACCGAGACGTGAAGCCCGAAAACGTGCTCGTCTCCAAACTCGGCGTGGTGAAGTTGTGTGACTTTGGGTTCGCGCGAATGGTGGCTGCTCCCGGCGAGACGTACACCGACTATGTGGCGACCAGATGGTACCGGGCACCGGAATTGCTCGTCGGCGACACTCTGTACGGCAAGGAAGTCGACGTGTGGGCGGTCGGCTGCCTCATGGCCGAGATGATGACCGGAAATCCCCTATTCGCCGGCGACTCGGACATTGACCAATTGTTTTTAATTACCAAAGCGCTAGGTACTTTATTTAATTAAAGGACCATTCCAATCACCATTTTTTCAAGAGCTGGATTAAAAAAAAATCTAAAAATCTTTAAATGAAGTAGAAATTTTTTAACGATTAAATTATTAAATTTACATTCAAAAGCTTTTGGTGAAGAAAGGTGAACCCATATTTCCACGCTTACAAGTATAAATTTTCCATTTCAGACATTAAATTTTGTTTACTCTCAATGTCAAGAATAAAAGCAATTTCCGTAAGCCCCTTGAAATTTTAACTAATTTTTTGTGAAAGTATGAATTAATTTTATTGCAAAACTTCAAATATTTATATCACAATATTTATTATAAACAAGTTTTTAAATTTATTATTGGCAGGCAAATTGTCCAACAAGCATCAGCACCTGATTTCTAGAAACCCCATGTTCAAAGGCATGCGAATCGGTTCCGCCGTCACGCCTGCCAATTTGTACGACATGTTTCCGAGTTGGCCGCGACTATCTCTCGACTTCACGTCTGCCTGCCTCCGCCTCGACCCCAACAGCCGACCACCCACTTCAGAACTTTTGCAACACACCTATTTCAATCACGATGGCTTTCCCGGTGAGTAGTTTAATTGCTTTGCTTAATTGCTGTTTAATGTGCAATGAAAAGGTCAAACTTTTGATAAGAGCGGAAAATAAAAATAGTAAATCATTGCAAACTTCAAGTTCATTCAACTGGCTTTGGTGATTTCAAATGTTTCAATTTTATATTATTAAAATATGATACGAATAAATGTTTTTTTTTTAGTGTTCGACTGATATAGTGATAGTGAATAAAAAGCATAATTTATTTAAAAAACAAATAAAATTATAAACCCTACCAACTCAGAAGTAAAAAGAAATTTTCTTTACTTTTTGTTCAACAAAGTTATTTCTTTTATGTAATTCAAATCACTCGCGTTGCAGTTTGAAAGAAAACAAATAGCGCAAAATAAATTATTGTAAAAATTACAAAACTAATGAATTCTTTACCCAATTCATTTTTTGTACTTAAATCAATAGAAAAATTTTTTGTCAATGATATCGTGATGCAGAAAAGCAGATGACGTGCGGCAAGTATTTTGGTGAATGTTGTCTCGTTTTTCTCCGTCAAAATATTACAATAACAAGCAAATGAAAAAAAATTCATTAAAAAAATCGATCCTATAAACCCTAAAATTCTCTTAAAAGAAAGAACCATTTTTTTTAACTATCCAACGTCATGACGTTAGCAGCGCAATAAATTTACTTCTTTCATATTCAAGTTTCGTGCTTTGAGTTGCGTAATATTTGCATGTGGGTTTTTGCTTTCCCACGACCTTGATCCGTCATCAGTGCTCTTCCACGAGATTCGTTTTTTGCACCCTCAAAAAATTCAATGAAAGTATTCGGAATTAGTTGCTTTTTTGTTCATTTGCAAAAAGTCAACTATTCTTAATGGAAATTGCAGACATTATCGGTCTTAAAGGAAAATTTTATGATCTCAATGGGAATGGGAATCATCCCAATACAAGACTTTTCATCAAAATCATTAAAATTATCCATATTTGTGGTTCAAAGTTGTACGTTGAAAAAATATTATTCAATATTTTCTTTTTTAATTATATACAAGATGAAATAGAAATTTAAACTAAAATACACTTTCAAGTTCTCAGATAAATGAATACATAATTTTTGAGAAATTTTAACTTGATTTTTTAAACTTACCTTCAATCAGGTGCCTTCCTGCCTGAGTTGCGTGCCCGAATGCAGCAGGAGTGCCAAAACAACCCCCTCCTCTCGCGGCGTTTCAGCAACACCGCGAATTCGGCGCGGAGTGTGAGAGGGGACGGGGCGCCGCACCCCAACCCCCAGAGTGACCTAGAGTCGCTGATGCTGCCGGCGGCGCTGTCCAACCGCGGCCAGACTGACAGGGACGGAAGTGGACCGAGATGGAATAAAGTGCAGGAAGCGCCGGAGCGGAGGGAAAACCTCAGGTCACGGAGGGGTGGCAAGGAGGAGCAGGAGGGGAAGGCCGGCTCGCCGACCACCAGGACATCGTCGCGACTCCAGAGGTCGCTGCAGCAGGAGTTGGCCGACCTCATGCCGCCCTCACCTGCAGGTCACGACGTACACGCCTCGGGCTCGCACCTCTACGTGCTGCACCCCTCCATCAACAACCTTAGCTTCGGAAACATCAACTCAAGGTAGGAGAGGTAGATGATAAAATTGTTAAAAACAAAGCATTAAATTTCTCAATAAAAATTTTGGGAAATTGGGAAAAATTCAAAATAACAGCTCTTATAATTATTATTCTCTAATTCAATAGTTTTTATATTAAAATCTTAAGACTTTTCAATAATAAAAAAAAGTAATTTTCGTTGTAAATTTCAAGATACTGTTTTCTCAACGTTATCAGTCGTTGGCGATAGTATTCAATAATTTCAGTGTGCTAATTAATTTAAATTTAAAAAAAAAATTAATATGAACCAATGGAGACATACCCATGCTTTGTTTTTAGATCCAAATCATTTTAAAATGTAATAAATTGATAAAAAAAATGTAGGAAAAAAGATATTCAAAAATTTTAAACAATATTTTATGATATTTTACTTGTACTTTTTAACAGTTGCATTAAATTTTTAAAAGATAATATTTGGTAAAATTTATAAAATCAAAGGTTTTCCGACACCTCATTCAACAAACGGTCACCCTTGGGCAACGTGACCACAGGGACAAACGCCACCAGCCGCCACAAAGCACCCCCCTTGGTTCCCGCCGCCGGCACCAACAAGACAAAACGCATTGGCAGCATTTTGGGCGACAGCGTGGACCGGCCGCTCGAGTCGCCGCCCCCAGCCACCCTTACCTGGGGGCGGCGACTGGCACCACTAAGACACCGAGGCCTCCTACCCACTGATGAATTTTCTCTTCCGAACCTTCCCGGCGGTAATTGATCTATGCAAGCTTTTTTGGTGAGCGATGATTAATTGTGGAAATTTTGAGCAGCCGTCGGGAGTCCCAACAAAATGCTGAAGAAGCGCGAAAAGTTGGGCAATCTTGTAAACATCGAAAACTATGTACCTTCAACCACGGTAATTACATTAATTACTATATTTTAAAACAAATATCTATTCAACATAAGGCGCATTTTAAGGTTAAATTTAATAATTTCAAGAGGTTCAAAATTAAGGTTTTTAGTGTCTCTTTGAACCCACAATAAAAGTAAAGTATCATTTTTTTTTAATTTTTCAATATAAATTTTAACACTAATTTTTGAAAATTATTATTCCAAGCAATGAATAATTCGATCATCCGATAATGAACAATTTTGTTCCTTTTCTTATTTAAATCTATGATGAAAATAAATTAATTTTTTTCTGGCGGGAAAAATCAAGATCTTTTAGAGTGAGATGGACGTTTTTCTTGAGATAAGGAGTATACTTTTGATTTTAATCAAGAAAATTGAATTAGTTATTTCAAATTGACTGGAAGTTGCTTGTAAAGCTGATTTTTTAAATTCAATATCATAATCTTATAACTCCTTACAAGAGCTAAAAATAAAACTAAATTATTTTTCAGGACAAGCTGAGCAGCAAGTCAAATTTGACGGACAAGGACTTGAGCTAGCTGTTAATCTTCGGCTCCAGGAAGTCTTGGGGTCACAAATGACGACAACTAACTCGATTACGCGTCATTTTGCATAATTTATTGCTGCATGAGATATATGAGAATAAATTACAGTAAACGTGTGAGTGTACCAGACGAGGGGGCGCTTTCTTATACAAGTTGGCGGAAGTAGGTGTTGCTTCTCGTGTGCCTTCTTTATATGTTTTTTTTTCTCTCCCCACTAATTACACCAACGTGTTATTTTAATTGCGGGCAAAATGCATAACTATGGTATAATTTACGCTACTGAAATAACTCTGTCCATTGAGAATAAAATTAAAAAATTTGAAATTATTTTGAAACTGCGCACCTGGTTTAATTTTCCAAAACCTCTCTTTCTCTCTCTTTCGCTTTTATATCACAAAAGTCCAAACTTCTTTCTTATATTTCACTCTTTTTTTCATGCCCATTGGCGAAGTAACAAAAGCACGGTGGAAAATAATAGACTTGAGAAAACGCTGGTTTGAGCGGCTCCACTTTCGGAGGACTCTTCGTACGGCTCATTATTGCAGCCGTCACTTTTGCACACCTCGTGGCATACGTTGATTTTGTCACCGTGAGGACTCTGCTGGTTTTCCTGACACTTCAATCCCAGGTCCACCGGAATGCAAGCTCGCGTCAACAGCGACAAAGCACCTTTAAAATTATTATAATGTTGTTTTAAACATATGTGTAAAAGACATAAAAAAATTGAATAATTATACAAAAAAAAGACTGTCACTAACAATAAATAAGTTTAAAAAAAATTACAAAAAAAAATATTGATTTAAATCAGTCTTATCTTTTATAAAAAAATTTATATTGAAATAATTAATTATATCCAAAAAGAAATCTACAAACGCAAATTTTAAATATAATTTTGTAAATTCATCATTTTTTAGTTAAACATGGTAATATAATTTTTACCGTCTTCAACCAAAGTCTCCTGGACTGTGATGCAGTACTTGGATGAGGGAGGACACGGTTTGGCGGCAGGGGGCGACGACACGCATTCCAAAGAGCCTTCGGAATTGCACTGCACGCACTCGATCCCTGCGGAATGGAAAAAGTTTTAATTTATGCCGCGTTGTTCTTTTTATATTAATAATATGCGCCGCCAGCTAGGGGGAGTTTAAAATGTATAAGCGACGGCTCTTAACCCTTTTTTGTGGCACTCTATATAAACCAGGGCTTTAAAGCTAAACCCGCGCTATGGGGACTATCACAAAACTGTGCGAGAGTGCCCATAAAATTACCGCAACTGCGTTTTAACAAGACTCTCATCGTAAAACTTTTTGACTAAATTGCCATTTAGCCACTAGGTAGGGTTATTATCCTGCATTTTTGGTAGGCGAAAACTTGAAATTCAAATTTGTAACAGAATTAAAGCATTAAATTCAAAAATTCACTATGTATATTAAAAATATTGACATATATTATAATTTTCTTCTTAATAGAAAAACGTAGAACCAGTAAGAACTAAAAGACATATAAAAGTGTTTAAAGTTATAATAAATTCTCAAAAATAAAAAACCTTAAAAAGGACGATTCAAGGTGCACCAAATTTTAAATCTGCATTATATGGTAATAAAAAGAAATCGAAAAATGTAAAAATAAATCTTTTAGCAGAGTAGCTACAAATTGGAAAATTCACGAGTTTTATGAATTGCAAGTAGGTCTAGCAAATTCTTTAAAACAAAACGCATTTATCCTCTCCATCTATATGAATAAATTTACATTGAAATATCATTTTGTGAAATTTTGAGCAAAAAATTTCGGGCAGTTTTTTTTAATCGCCAAAAACAAAAATTTCCATAAGACGCAATGTAAAAATTCAAAAAATCATATTTCAAGAATAATCGGCGCTACCCCCCATTTTTCTTTGTGCAATCAACTCTACTGATAGGTAGGAATCTATAAAAAAATCTGGGTCCAAAAATTTCGGGCCGATTTGCCGTAAACAGGAGTTGTAGATGTCAATAAGCAGGCCTTAAACAGTTTTTATGTTTTTCGATATTATAGTAAAATAATCACAGTTAAAATGAGTAAATGATTCTTCATTTTTATTTAAAAGAATGACAAACCACGACTACGCGGTGCCAATATTGAAAGATAATGTAAACAATAGTGATGCCAGTCTCAGTATCGCCATTCAAGGACACACAACGCAGATGCACCGCCGTGCAAAGCGGGTTCACGGCGCGAGAGTAATTGGCCGGCAGCTGTGTCGGGCGGATTATTTCATATTGAGCTCTTTCGAGAGTCTGTCTATCTCTTGAGCCCGCATGCATACAAGTGTGTGTGTGTGTATCATCGACGAATACATTCGTCTCTGTTACAGATAGATGCCTTGATATATATGAATGTGTGTTCGTTCGACGCTCATCAAGTAATAATAACGATTGTAGTCGGCCGAAAGCAGCGCACGACTCTTAACAAGTGGTGTCCCCTCCTGGGGCACGGCTTTCATCATCACAGGACATTGCCTTAATTGACGAGCCCATTTTTGAACTCATGGGTGTACGCAAAACGAGCGAGCCTTAGTCGTGGGCTGTGCGCGTTAAAAAAGTGGCTTCAATATGACAAGCGTGAAATAAATCGGCTCAATTACAAAATATGTAATCCAAACTTTTTGCATTCAGGTTGTTAGATTGAACGGAAATGAAAAATAATAATAATTAAGTAAAAATTCCTAGAATTGTGGATTCTTAATCCTGCTTAAAGCACTTTAATTGATTAAATTTTGAATCTCACTGATTGCGTTATTAGTTTACATTGTTATATTTTTATATCTTAGAAATTAGCCCTAAAAAATATGGATCTTCTTGCAGTAAAAAAGTTTTTCTTTTATATTCATTCATACATATTTTGGCTTTTATTAAAAATCTTTTTCAGGCCATTCCTTTACTCAGCTTAAAATCAATTTTGCTACTTACCAGTGTTATTATTATTTTACTTTGTCATATAGAAAAATAAGTTTTCAAATGCTTTTGTTCGATTGAAAAATTAAATGGCCAAAAACTTTTTAATAATTAAGAACTAACACTACTTAAAGCTATTATAGGCAGTTATTTTTATTGATTCCATTTAAATTTAATATTTCATAATAAATTATTATTAATAATAATAAAGAGAATAAAGACAGAAATTCAATTACTTCAATTTTGTTTTGATAAAGTTAAGTATATTATCATACAAAGTTTTTTTTAATTGGATCATAATATACAAAAATTTAGTGTTTTTGATCGCTGGTTAGATGAAAATTGAATTGGATGCGGTATGCATTTTGGTTAATAGCGATTTGATTGTTACATTGCTTACCTTGAGCGGGACTGACTAGAAGAAGAGCTGCCAACGCCAGAGCAGTGGCCAGTGCGAATTTCGGTCTGCCCTCCATCCTCCGCTCAGAACATATTTTCTGTAATTGCGATAAATGGGACAACGCCCAGAGCTAGCATTAGGAAAATCAAATGTTAATGTCTGCAGTCGCGAAAGGAAGCCTTCATCACGCGCAAACGCTCGTCTAATAAATATAGGTTAACCAAATAATGTGCTACGCCTATTTGAAAAGGGGCATCAATGCTTATAGTTAGAGAGTTAATTTTCAAACAGACTTCCTTGTTTCTATTTTTTTCAATCATTAAATGGTCGATTGGGCAGAAATATGCACATAAAGATTATATATATTATTTTATTTTATTCAATCAATTTATTAAAGCAGAGAAAATGTGGTGTTGATTGTTTGGATTCAAAAATGTATATTATAATTTCATTTTATTGAATTTATTATTGTAGGTGTTGTTGTACATTTATTTAAAAATTCAATATTTAAAATATGTATATTAAAACAAAAAAATACCACATTTTTTTATTTATAATTTAAATCATGATTATTTAAAAAACAATCTTCATGAAAAAAATTTAAAATTATAAAAATATTTTATGTATTTAAAATTAAAGCTTTAGCTTAATCATTTACTACTTTTAATCAAGAAAATTGGATGTGCATCGGGTTTATTACAAAAGTTTTGTTTTGTATGTTTCAGTTCTCGGATCTCTCCTGCTCCTCCTCATTCACTCTCTTGCTATTATGGTGGTGCATGCATGTTGCTTGCCTCTATTTGGGTGACAACGATCCATTAGTTCCCTTTTGTTTCTCGCTGCTTATTTCACTGAAAGCTTAAGCCGAGCGCGAGAGAAACGAGCAGACTGTCAAGGAAAAGCCGCGACCGAAGCGAACGGGACTCGTCAAGATTGTAAAAAAAAAAAAAAATACACACTAGCTCACGACCAACCATTGGCACTGCTTGCTTGGGACAGAGACGCACGCCACTATTTATGTTAAATTATAAATTTAGAAAAGGAGCGCAAAAAATGAATTGGCTAGACCATAAAAAAATGTACGAATTCTGTAAATAAAATTTACTTCGCGTGCAAGAATTTAATAATTGAAACTTTCGTTACAATAACGGCATTATTGCTTAAATTGCTGGTGTAATTCCAGCAACTGATTGCATGTCTTATTGTATCGATTTTCTCAATTCTTTTCCACTTTATTTTTATTTCGAGTAGTTGCGTAATGGACTTACTTCTAAAAAGCTCACAAAATCTCTTTTGCAGAATGGAAATTTAATAAATTTATGTGTCTTTTAATTCCACTCGGCGGTCCGGAGCGTGGATGTTAATTGTTCCTGGGGTCAACGGGGCCAAATAGATCAAGCGATCATTCCTGAATCGCGCCCCTTTCGGTGTCCCCTTTCAAAGAAGAAACACAATCTTGTCATGCATTTCTCAATATCAGACAATGTAAAAGAGAAATTCAATACGCATTTCAAGTGTAGGCTAATTACAAGAAAGTTATTTTGTTACTTGAAACAATTATAGACATGAGGTAAATTTTAAACAATAAAGACAAAAAACACAATAACACTTAAAAAATAATTAGCGTCAATTTGTATTATAAGCATCAAAAGTGTGAAAACAACGGCTTTGACAATAATATCAATAATGTAATTTTAGTTGCAAAGTGTATATAAAGAAATTTGTTCTGGATTTATAGAAGGGAGGCAAATCGTTTTTGGGAAGGAGAATTGAAAAGTACCAAACTTTGAAATGTAAATTTAAAAAAAAAATCAAGACAGAAAAAAATAACTGATGCATTTAGAATAATAAACTAGAATAATCTGTACATTGAAAGTTTTCAAAAACTTTGCCAATAAAAAAGTTGGTCCCAACATGGCGCACTTTTAATTAAGGACTTTTCTTCATTTAAGTGAAGATTCAATACAGAATTAATTTCTTGAAAATTTGGAAAAATTTATTGCATGGAACAAATTATTTCAGTTTTGATGTTTAGTTTGAAATTGAAATATTTGCATACCGTGAGCAATGAAATTCTTCTAACTTCCGTCGAGTATCCTATTTTAAGCGCACGTGTGTGTTTTCGAAAAGTGTCACTATTGCAAGTCACAAGAAGCACAGGTATGGGCCAGGATGAAGAAGCTGCGAGAAGTGTCCGACTAGCTGGGCGGTCTGGAATCACAATGCGCTGGAGCGGTGGATTGATGGGAGGAGAGCCGCTGAAGATGATGCAAAATATAATCAGGCCGCGCGCACTGAGCGCCCGCTCTTCACCAGCATCCGCCGCCAAGAGCTAAAACGACCGAATGAGCTGCGACGACCAAGCCCATGCTATCCCCTCATGTCTGACGAGGCCAAAATAAATTTGAAGGGCAGGAAAACGTTTTTTACGTTAGCTGTGCCGTCGAATTCCTTCTCTTTATTACTTGATCGACACGCCGCTTTCACTCTCGGTGCGCAGGTGACACTTTTTCAAAAATTCGGTCTTTTTCCAGTTTCAAAATTTGTACCATTTAAAACTTTGAGCCAAAAATATACGCGGCTCTCCAATGGCGCACTCATAAAGCCAGACTAAACATCATCACCTGCCCACGCATTTGCTCCTATTTCGCAAGCACCGCAATTGATTTCAAGCACCAAATAATCATAGATTGAATTCTTAATTAATTAAATATATACAAATATCTTATTCATACATATAAATATAATTAATAAAAATTCTTTTTTCTCGAGAAATTTTTATATCCTTTTAACGTTTGAACCTTCAAGAATTTGAAGTGGTATAAAAATTAAATATCTTTTCAGGCGAATATAGACTTTCTGGATAAAACAATTCAATAACAAAATCATAAAGAGGATGTTGATTTTGACTGATATAAAAAAGACGTTGCCGTTTTGTAAAAATATGCCCATCTAGTTTCCTTTCAACAGAAGTTTATCACCACAAAATATAATTAAAAGTTATGAATGAAAAAATTATTTTTTAGGAGTTTAATACAAAAGAAATAATTAAAATCCATTACTAATTTGCAAAACCATTTTATAAAAAATTTTACTTATTATTGGTAACGTTGATGTAAACTATTATTTTGTAAAACTTTTGAAAATAAACAAAGATTAATTGAGCTTTTAATACAGATTTGGTTTGCATTCCATTAAATACAATAATTGATCAAACTCAATCCAGTTTTAACTTTTTCGAGAAGCTATGCAACCTGGTGAACACCTACGCTTGGCCAGTTGCTCACTCTGTTTTATTGTATTATTTGGGGGGGGGGGGGTTCAGTGTGAAAATAATTTATGAATTTTCATTTCACTTAAATCTGTGTTATACAGAACTGCGTGTTTTAAATTTATTTTTTAAATTTTTTAAATACTGATAAGAAATTCATAATCTAAAACTAAATGGTGACTCATTTTCTAAACACATTTTAATAGGTTAAAGGAAGAGTGACATCACCTCTCTATATTTTTGCAAGTGAGAGCTTCGAGACGAGCAATTTTCATGCTTTCGCTAATTGACAAACTTGTCGGCATGACAAATCTCCCGAGTTTAACTGGGATTGAGGAAAAGGAAGGTATGACATTCAGTCTTCTGCAAGGCCGCAAAGAATCATGAAGCTTCTCGTGTTACTGCTCCTTTTATCTGTGGCGTTAATTTATAATTTGGAAAAGGTTCGAGGTGATTCTCCAGGAAGAAAAAATACCGCTCGACCGGGCAGCGAGTCAATCATCACAAATTCCCTTGTCGTGGCTCCACCACGCGCACCGTCACCAAGGAATGGAGATCGCTGTCCAAATGGATTTGTACTGTTTAAAGGAAGGTGCCGACGTGTGATGAAGTGACAAACAGCTAGATTGGATATTAAGTGAACTGTCGAATTAAGAACCAAGAACAAGAATGAAATTTTTCGGTTTCATATACACTTACACATAAACAAAATTTAATGCAAATTAATTTTTCGTTATTAATTGTTATTTTATATTAATTTGTATCAAACCGTAATTAAAAAAATTAAAAACGTTTTCTACTGAAATCAAGCACTGTATTTTTTTTAAAGAATATAAATTTCAATTAATGTTAAAAAAGTTCATAATTTTGATCTGCGTATGTTTTATTCCTTTAGGTAAGTCCAAATGAATCAAACTTTTGATCAATATGATTTAGATATAAACTGATATGTGGAGCTTGAAGTTCGAGTTTGCTGAAATTTCACTGGGAATTTAATATTGCATTAAATATTCAATAAGTATACCGATTTTATTTTTTGCTTTCATTCTTCAAAAAGTTTATAATGGTTTCAAATTACGAACCCTCTACTTGTTAAAAAAGTAATAGGATTGAGAAATTAGAGATGCGCACAATCTGGAACGGTTGTTACTAACGTTATATTAACGCGTGTTCCAGTCTTCCTCTCAAAGCTCTGCAACCTGGTCAACATCTAGACTTAGCCAGTTGCATATCCTGTTTTATCACAGGCTAACTACCTTGATGAAAGAGATGTACACACAGATTAGATTTTAAGCCAATGAAATTAGAAACTTTAATTATCACATAAAATCGAAAATTATAATTCTTTGATATAAAAGTTGATTTGCTATTATTTATGAATTTTTTTAATTCCATTTTTTATTTTAATCATCGCAAAGTTATTTTATATATTTAGTTGCAAAAATGCATACCAATACAATTACAATCTGTTTATAATCTACTTGAAATGGCAAATCATTACAAAGCCCAAAGGTGAATCGTAATATCTACACAGCAATGAACGATTTATTTAACGCGCAGATCTGCTGCAGCCACTCAAGAAACTAGATGGCTCTCTTCTGTAAGACAATTTTTCTGCTGCTTGGTAAGAGCAAAAATATTATTTTGTATCCCTACAATGATAGTTTTTGTTTCAAATAAATCATTCTCAGGATTGGCAATGCTTCTGAACATCAGCAACAGCCAAACCAATTTTTCTGCTTCACTCATCCCCAAGAAAAAGCAATATCAGCAAAGGATCGCATGGGCACCTGACCGGACCCCTGATCCAACACCTAATCCTTGCACGGAGGACGAAGTAATGATTCGAGGCAAGTGCAGAAAAAAGCAGTCTGTGAATTAATAATTTGGTTTTTTGCTGTAATGGGAGATTTCTGGGGGGCTTTTTGCAATAAAATAATTTCTTAAAAAAAAAACTATGTATGTTATCTACTTAATATGCATGAATTGCTTCGATTTAATCTATATCATAATTGCCTATTTTATAGGGTTATCGTGTGATTTTAGAGAAATTGCAGTTTCTTCGTGTAGTTAAATTTATTTTTATTTATATTTATTTTAGCTTCTTTATCATGATTATTCTTGGAGTAGTTTGGTGATCTTGCAACTCTTGACGTTGGAATGATATATAAAAAATACTTGGAAATCAATTTAATTTTTAATTGAATTTGAAATTAAAATTTGTATACACAAACAATTCCAATACATTTGTTTTAAGCAAGTTATATCTAGATTCCGCCTCAAATCCAATAAAATTGTCAAAATTGAAGCAACAACTTGATTCAAGGGCGAAAAGAGGTCAAAGTTATACCAGCAAGAAGAAAGATAATTGTAACAGCGCAGTTTTGAAACAACCTCTGAACAGTTAGGATGTCTTTCGTGTGGAGGATTTTTCTTCTTCTACTAGGTTTGTCAAGAAATTTATTTCAATTCATTTAGTGATTATTTTTTGGATTAATTTAAACAGGCTTGGCAATGATTCTGACCATCACCACAGGCCAAACAAATTCTTCTGATTCTCAGCAGCCCGAAGTGGTACATATTGATTCGTTTGCATCGGCACCTATACGCGTTTGCGAGGACGATGAAATACTGATTCGAGGCAAGTGCAGAAAGAAAAAGAAGGTCATATAATCTGTCTGTATGAACTGACAAAAATTCATAGAAAATATTTCTAAAAAAAATTTCTTGATAGTGTGTGTACTGTGTGTACAGAAGAAAAATAAACAAAAAAAATTTAAAATGAAACTGACAACGTTTTTTAGTAATAAATTGCACATATTTAGACATAAGTATTCAATAATTCAACTCTCCATATTTTTTACAAAATATTATTTATTACCCAAAGAGGGTAGTTTGAAGATCATGATTACAACAAAATATAAAATGTTTTAGCAAAATTGCCGAAAAAAAAGAAAAATAATATACAATTTATTTCAGAAGGTGTTTAACTTTTAGTTAAAATATTAAATTATTTATAATTAAAACAACATCTCATATGAGGGGGTATAGAGGTCAAATCTTGTATCCAAGAACGATAATGTTGAAAGCCGTCGCAGATCTGAAACGACCACTCGACAGTTAAAATGTCTTTCGTATGGAGGATTGTTCTTCTCTTACTTGGTATGTTTCTAGTAATTTTTTAGAATTACGCTCTATAATTTCTCTCAAAATACCAATTAATTTCAGGATTGGCGATTCTTCTGACCATGAGTAGCGGCAAAAGTAATGATACCGTCGTGGATGGCAAAAAATATAAATTGAAGAAAATACTTTCAAGCGCACCTCTGCGCGCTTGCAAAGACGACGAAGTATTGCTGCGAGGCAAGTGCAGGAAGCAATCTAAAGTTATTTAATTTTACATAAGCACAAACTCACTTAGTTCTTTTTTTAAAATTACAACCGAGAATTATGCATATTATATCTACAATAAAATCTGCTTGATATTAAACGTAGCATGGCATTTTTATTCAAAAATATAAAAACTTAAAATAAATTTTTTGACTAAAATAAAATAAAAGGTTATTATAGAAAGCTTAAAAATTTTTAATTTATTATTTATCGATCTGCATACTATTTATCACAATACATGAATCACAAGGATTTATTTAAATAGAGATTAAAAGTGGCCATGGCCAATCTACATCAAAAGCAACGATTGGTAAAGAGGCTTGTTTTTCGTACAGACAGATCAATGGGAAACAGTTGCTCGCCAACTGGCCATGAAAAAACATTCTCCCTCTCTTCAATCCAACAACTAGATTGGACTTTGCAATGCGTCGCAGATTTTGAGTGTTTCCGAAGTGAGCTCGGGTCGGTGTATCTCTTGCCGCAGCCAAGCACCCTGCAGGCGTACGGTTTTTCCACCCAGTGGGTCAGCATGTGCTTGTACCTGTCGCTCGAGTTACTGAACGCGCGTTTGCAACCGGGATGAGAGCATAAAAATGGTTTCGCACCTGAAGAGATGAATAAAAATTTGTTACAAAAACAAAATTAAAAATCACAAGTATTATTAGGCTTAGGTGCTATTATTTAAATAAAAATATAAAATTATCCATTAAAAAAATAATTTTAACAAACCTGTATGCGTTCGGATATGATTTTTCAAATTTTCTGTCCGACTAAAGGCTTTGAAACATAAGTTACACTGGTAGGGTTTTTCATTTGTGTGTGTTCTGACATGGTCAAGCAGCTTATACCTGGATTTTTTAAATTCAATTTTAGTTTTGAAGGTTACTCAAAATTATTAATTATTTTAATATTAAATACCTCGCTTCAAAGTGCTTCCCTCTCCTAGGGCAATCGCGCCACTGACACGTGTAGACAGATAAGGGACACTTGTTCATCACGTCCCGTCTGCTTGGGCAGTGGTCGATGGCTATGTGAGTCCCAAGTAGGGCCAACGAGGAAAATTGTTCATGACACGCGACCCATCTAGAATTAAAAGTAAAATTAACCAACAAAATATTTAAATTTATTTAAAAAAAAATATATAATTATACATAAAGCTTTTTTTACCTGCACTCAAAAAATTCTCCTTTAATAGCATCCATGCTATTTATAGCTTGATGTGAAGCAAACATGTGGATTTTTTTTAATTATGAAAGAAAATATTATTTTAAAGCCTCTCAAAGGAGAAAATGCTGGAAATGCGACGCCTTTGATCAACAAGCAGTGCTTCGAAAATGCGAGAGACTGGACTCGGTGACTGCTGCGTCTCACTGCTGTCTTCAATTTTTTCTGTGTTTGTTCAAAAGGTCACTGAGGCAAAGGCCACACTGACAACTAGTTTGAAACTGGATCCAACCAGATCAAATCTACCAAGCAGTCGGTTTTATTCCACTCGCTATACCAAAGACCTCAGATAACCCCACGGAGACCATCATAATATCACGCGCAGCTTGCTGAATTCTTACACGAAACCCAGAGTGACATTACACAGACATATCATATTGATTTATTTTGAGTAGCCAAGGTTTAAATTTTTCATTGAAGAATTATATATTTCATTTTGATAAAAATCCATTCCATAGACGAGAACTAACAAATTAAAAAATTTATAATATTTCTCTAAAATTGATGAAGTTGGTTTGCTCTTTAAACCAATTAAAAGGTCAATTTAGTAATAAATATGCAGTGGTTGCAAAAAAGATATTAATTTGTATTCACAGCATACAAAGTGCAAAACTACTACTTATCAACAGGCTTGGAAAACAAATCACCAAGCTGAGGCTTGACAAACACCTGTGCATATAAACCACCAAGAGTCTCCAGGTGCGACTGCATAATGAGACGCAGAGTCTCCGAATATGGAGATTCTTCCGGCATTTTTTCTCTCCAAGCCACTTCTCCTTTTGAGTCTCGTTTGAACAAATGAGGGGCCGGGACGTTGTCTTTTAAGTAATTCCACACGTCTCTCATCAACATCAACACCTGAAAGCAAAAAAGTTTTTAAAAATCAATTAAATGTAAACATTTTTTATTAAAAAAAAAACTCCTTAAAAAACCAAATAAGATTGGTAGTATTTCCATAACTTTAAATAACATACCAACATACCTGAGCAGGATTGATGGTGGGAATCATGTGTCTTGAAGTGGCAAGGGAAAGTGGAATGAGTTGTCCGAGCAAGAGAAGATCGAGCAGCTGTTGCGTTTGGCTGACCAACTTTGGTGGCCGGGAGCCTGGGGTGCAGCCCCACTGTCCCATGAGGGAGGCCGCGTACGCCCTGAGGAGAACCGAACAGTAGCAAAGGGCAGGTCTCTCTGTGGCCACAAGTCTCAAAAGGGCCCACACGACGGGCTTGTCGTCCATTATCCTGCGGATGTGCTGGTCCCGTTCGACAGTCACTTTGCAGAATTCCTCCTCCGGCCAGGGCAGACCATTGTACATGACGTCTGGAGAGATCAGTTCCACCAATATCAGGGCCAGGTCGGCCATGGCCTCTGGATTAGGCGGATTGTCCAGGTTGCCGTCCACACTGCAACACGCTTTGCACGCCTCAATCAAAAGTTGCGAGTTGCTGAAAACTTGGGCCGACGGAGGAACAGGGTAGGAGATAGTTCTTCTCGGCCCAGTGCCGATTATTCCGGCGTGGAAAACGGTCGAGTTTCTTTGCGGAAGTAAAACACTGACTGACTGTTTCTGATTGTCCTTCAAAAGGGTTGGTTCTGAAGATGTCAACACTGAGCCAGGCTTTTCAGTACGAGTGGTGATTGCTCCAAAAAGTCGAGCTTGCGATTTGTGAATGGCGCCTTCTAGTAACTCTCTTAGTGCCAAAGCTCTTGCTGAGAGGGACACACAGCACAGTTTTGATAAAAGTCTGATGGCTCTGCGTCCACTAAGCAAGCGGACAACGTCTTCGGGCTCTTCTAAACTGTGGAAGAAGTAGGTGATGGTGGCCCGAGTCAACTGTAGTGAAATTTCGACACCTGCAGGAGCTGGTAGGGCCAATTCCAAAACTTCAGCTGCGTCCGAGTTTCCATCTCTGACAGCTTCGGCAATAGATGGGAAACATCGCTTAGCGGCCTGGAGGACTGGACCTGATCTAGACTCGGACTCAAATCTGAGCAGGGTGGCCAAATTCCGCCAAAGGGTTTTGTGGTTTTTGTTCTCCGGACACCGCAACTCCTGCTCCAGAGCATCGGCCAATAGATTTGGCTGCGTCGACTTTGTCTCCTCACACATGGCCAGAATAGCTCCCAGGTGGTAGTCTTCGGTGGCGTTGGCCAAGAGGAAGGCAATTGCCAGCAAGGGGACAGCGGACGAGTGATGGCCCATTAGTGAAATGAGGCGAAGGGTTGCATGGGCTCTTAATCCATCCGAGCTGAGGAGAAGGGGTTGCAGGGTGTTGAGCTCTTTTCTAATGCACATTGCCAACTGGATTGGTGGCTGCCCGATCTCAACCGTCCGCACCATCAGACTAACTTCTTGCAGGAATAATTCTAAAAATTAATTAGTTTTCTCTCTCTATATTCTTTCAATAATATAAATAAATTACCTAGAGTTTCTGTACATGTGTTTCTTTCCTCAGTTGTCAAGCCACCTTCAGGGCCAGCAGCATCCAAGAGCAATGAAAATGCCTGAGCCCCACCCTGTTCACATCCCAGGGCAAGATGGACAATTAAATCTTGCAAAGCAGTGCCACCTCCGAAGTATGTGCACCATGAAGGAGCAAGTTTTGCAAGCTTTGGAAGCATTTTGCAGTTCACTGTAAGTATAAACATTATTAATTATTTGCACTTTTGATCACACTTTGAAAACTACATGATTGAAGGGCCTCAGCACTGAGAGCTTTAAATAAAATGGAGTTTAAAGATGCCAGGTGAAGAAGGTACGGAACAGTTGCTAACTTTAAAGGGTCCTCAGGATCCTCGTCACTTAGGCTCCACTAAAATTAAGTTTTAAAAACTATGCACAGCGCAATAAAGTAATAAAATACTTTAAACAAATCCAAAAGGGCTGCTCTTATGTCTCCGAAGTGGCTGCTGGCCAAGTGAGCAAGAATACCAACCACAGAGTTTAGTTTCGAGGCCTGAAAAACATAAAACTTTTAGGTTAATATTTAAAAAAAAAAAATCCATCTAACCTGAGGGTCAAAATGTCCTGCAATGAAGCCACGACCTCTTTGTGTGTTCGATTCTGAGCCTTGCACATAAAAGTCTTTCAAACCACAAGATAAAACTCTTGTGACTACAGTCTTTGGAAAACAGCTTCCAACGTGAGCCACCACCCAATCAAAATGAGGACTGTGAGTTACACTGACGTCTTAAAAAATATCTAAATAATTTTTATTTTAAGTTCATGAGTCAAATTTACCAAGGAGAGAATTGATGCAGGATTCAGTATCCGAGTTCATGAGACAAGCTAAACACTGGGTAGTTATGTCCATTAGTGTCCTCGTTGCACGGCAAGACATCCACAGCTGTAGGGATTCACTAAGGCCACCAGCCATACCAAGACCTTTTCCAGCGTATTTGCTAGAAAGGTTACCTAGAAATAGCAATGGATATTTTTTTGAACAAAATTTCTTATTTAAGAACAATAATATTCATTACAATTAATTGAAAACACATAATGAAAGGGACAAACAATATTATTTTGCTTACCGAGAAGTTCTAGTGACCACTTAGAAATAATTGGAGCCCAAGCTTCTGGGTTTGTTGTGACAAAGTTGCAGAGGACCGAGTGAATCTCTGTGACGGTGCTCTCCTCAGGAAAAGTAGGGCTGCTTGGATGATTTTGTTGTTGCTGCTGTTGCCCATTTCGCTCAACCTTAAAAAAAGTTTTTTGTTATTAATTCTATTGAGAAATTGCGTGAAATTTTATCTCAAAATTTAACCTCAAGCTGTGCGACATAGCGGGTGACGGAAATGTCCATCACGGTGCAAAAGTACTCAAGGACTGCGTCTCTGGACGCAGGCAGAGATTTGAGAAGGTTGAGGGCCGTTCGGGTGAGCTCGACGTGGTTGGCTTTGGCCGAAGACCTGGAGCCTGACAGGAAATTCCGCAACTCCTGCATCAGGTCTTGCGAGGAATTCGGCTTAGAAGTGTTCGCCATAGCGAACGATCAATTTATCTTCTTTCCAGATGCAAACAAGTCCAAAATCTGCAGCTTAAAATGACAAATAATCTGCCAAGATCAGAGACCAAAATTCAAATCTTCAATCAAAACAATGCCGGCGGGGGCTGGGCCTGGGCTGGGCTGGGCAGGGGTGCGCGCATGTTTATCTGTTCAGTTGTTTATCAATTTTTGTGCGCAGTACACGCATTTTTGCTTCTGCGCAAAATCTCTTCCAATATTTTTATTTTTTCTTCATTCGTTCTCCACTAGAAGCCACGCCCACACGTGGGGGTTTTGTTAATTTGTTATTATCGCTTTTCGCCTGCACAGATATGAATGTATTAAGAAAATCAATTAAGGTAAGGTGCGAAAATTTAATTTAGTTATGTATACACATGAACATAAACTGTACTGTCTTGCTCAAAATATTTAAGTGTAAGTACATGCATACAGTAAATTAAATTATGTATGTAATGTATACATTTTTTCAGGTTTTGACAAGAGCTCGGTGTTTTGGCACATCTGGTGTCTGCCATGGCTACAACAATTTGACAAAGGTTGCTCAAGAAAACGGTGTGAGGAAAATAACATTGGCAAATCCAAAGAAGAGGTAAAGAAAAAAATTAATAAATTACTTTTTAACATTTGTCACCAAAGAAATGCGTTGTCGTATCAAATGGAAGAAGATCTGATAGAGGACATATCACTTAACGATGATGATCCATCTCTCCGTTGTATTGTGATAGCAGCCGAAGGGCCTGTATTCTCTGCCGGCCACGACCTTAAAGAGCTGGTAAACTTTAATTCGAGTAGCATAAAGTTTGAATTTATATAATAACAGGAGTTTCATTTGTGTATTAGTGTCAGGAGGGAATGCCTGCAAGGGTTTTTCAACTGGCATCGGGATTAATGGCAGCTATCAGAAACAGTCCCGTTCCGATCATTTCTGCAGTCAACGGTCTTGCTGCTGCAGCAGGATGTCAACTAGTCGCAGCTTCCGATATTGTAGTCTGCACCGAAAAAAGTCGTTTTTCAACTCCAGGGTATAGATTCAACAAAATTTAAATTTTATTCTTAGTATTCATTAAATTTCCAGTGGGAATTTTGGTCTTTTTTGCTCTACTCCTGGTGTAGCTCTGGTCCGAGTGCTACCAAGGCAATTTGCCAATTGGATGTTGTACACTGGAGAACCTATTTCAGCACAGCAAGCATTGCAATTAGGACTTGTTGCCAAAGTGTGTGATGAAAATAATCTAGGCAAGTCTTATTTTTGTAAATCTGCAATTGCAGAACTCATCTTATCATATGTTTTAAATTTAGAAGAGGAAGTTGAAAAAATAGTGACTGCCATCAAGCACAAGCCAAGAGATGTGGTCGCCTTGGGCAAGAGCTTCTTAAACCAGCAGGTAGAAATGGATGTTGTCACAGCTTACAGGTAGAAGTTATTTTTAGATTGTTAGAAAATATTACTTAAGTGAAAAAAAAAATTGCAGACTGGGGGAAAAGGTGATGCTTGACAATCTGGAATACGCTAATGCACAAGAAGGACTGATAAGTTTTGCTGAAAAGAGGAAGCCTAAGTGGAATTAATTTTATTAATGGCAGATTTAGCAAAATTAAAATATCTGCATGTTTGCTTATATATTTATGAAGTAAATCCCCTGTTTGTACAGGGCTGTCTATATTTTTCTAACAAGTTGAAAATGCCATAAAATAAAAGCTATTAAATTATTTAAACATAATGCACCAATTTGAGGAAATAAAATTTATTAAAAGCTTATCATTTTTGTCTGAAAGCATTATTGAAAAAACAAATATTTTTTTAAAAGAACTTAGCAAATAATTTGCTGCAAGAAATCCATTTCTGAATAATTTAAGAAGATTCTGGACAAAAAATGGCGGTAGCATATCAAAATAATATTGTAATATTATACTTGCAGTGCTACGAAACTGCCTGCAACTTGCATTCTACAAAACTTCATTCAATAAAAATGAGAATTAGGTCCTTCAGAGGGCGAGAAACTTAAACAATTAGAATATTTACGTTTTAATTAAACAAATTATTTACAATTTTTTTCTTAATATTTTATAGTTATTATTCCTTTGATGTGTTTGTTTTAAAATGCGCATAACTGACGCATTATATAAATTTATCTAATGCAAGATTTTTTGTTCTTGTATATTTAAGCAGACAAGTTGTAAACAACATTTTTAGCTTGCGTAAGCAGTCCTGAATCTTGTTTTGGAGAAAAAAAAAATATATTAATATTTTTTATTCTTTGAAAAAACGACATTATTTGTCCTTCGTGAAATTCTCCCAGAATTATCTACAATTAATTTCTAGAAAAATTGAAACCGGGCGAACCTCGTTGCAAAGAAAAAATGAAAAAATATAAAGGACAACTGACCCCAAAGGCGACCTGCGGTCTGCTGGTACTTTAAAACCTAGGGTTTCTTGTGTCCGACTAAACCTAAGTGGGAGGAATTAATAAAAAATTTAAAAATAAAATGGGAGGATTTAATTTTAATAAACAAAAATTGCAGAAATTAATTAAGCAAAAGAGTCGGTCAACAGCTTCATACTGTGATTTTGGCAGAAATTTCCAGGGCAATGAACCCAAAGACTTTTCTGGCAAAATCACAGTAATCTGCCGCACTACTGGTTAGGACAGCTGTTTCGGCCAATCCAGGCCTCATCAGCTAACCTGAGTGCCGGTCCTCTCTTTCGGAGAAGTCCGAGAGACTGATGCTGAACGGTGGCTGCTGCGTGGTTTTATACCCGAGCGAGGCCGCTCGCACCGCCCTCTGGCGCGCTAATTGGCTGACTCGATTGCTCTAGAATTTTCTGCGTTTTTAAATTGAAAAGCACGAAGTGTGCGTTAATTAGCGGGCCCGTCCCGCAGATTTAAATTGAATGGTAACACTCGAGGTGGATTTCATGAAAAATTGAAACCGGGCGAACCTCGTTGCAAAGAAAAAATGAAAAAATATAAAGGACAACTGACCCCAAAGGCGACCTGCGGTCTGCTGGTACTTTAAAACCTAGGGTTTCTTGTGTCCGACTAAACCTAAGTGGGAGGAATTAATAAAAAATTTAAAAATAAAATGGGAGGATTTAATTTTAATAAACAAAAATTGCAGAAATTAATTAAGCAAAAGAGTCGGTCAACAGCTTCATACTGTGATTTTGGCAGAAATTTCCAGGGCAATGAACCCAAAGACTTTTCTGGCAAAATCACAGTAATCTGCCGCACTACTGGTTAGGACAGCTGTTTCGGCCAATCCAGGCCTCATCAGCTAACCTGAGTGCCGGTCCTCTCCTTTCGCTCGGGTATAAAACCCCGCAGCAGCCACCGTTCAGCATCAGTCTCTCGGACTTCTCCGAAAGGAGAGGACCGGCACTCAGGTTAGCTGATGAGGCCTGGATTGGCCGAAACAGCTGTCCTAACCAGTAGTGCGGCAGATTACTGTGATTTTGCCAGAAAAGTCTTTGGGTTCATTGCCCTGGAAATTTCTGCCAAAATCACAGTATGAAGCTGTTGACCGACTCTTTTGCTTAATTAATTTCTGCAATTTTTGTTTATTAAAATTAAATCCTCCCATTTTATTTTTAAATTTTTTATTAATTCCTCCCACTTAGGTTTAGTCGGACACAAGAAACCCTAGGTTTTAAAGTACCAGCAGACCGCAGGTCGCCTTTGGGGTCAGTTGTCCTTTATATTTTTTCATTTTTTCTTTGCAACGAGGTTCGCCCGGTTTCAATTTTTCATGAAATCCACCTCAAGTGTTACCATTCAAATTAATTTCTACTTTATAATCAAATATAAATTTATAAACTTCTTTTTCGTCCACAATAACCGGACGCGAAGCATAAAATAAATTTTCGTAATTTAATTTATGAGTTCTTAGTTCTTTTTCTTGAACGATTTCCCGGATTCGGGTTTTTCGCGCGAATTTTGTTCAATTTTCAAATCTTCCGATTAAGCGGTGACCAATGAGCATTCGTCCATGTGATTAATTCGCTCGTGATTGGTCGGCGCGCTTTGACGTCACCTAGATACGGCAGCCGTGTCACGCCCAGCCCGTCTTCCTTCAATTTCTCATAATCGTTACGTAGCAGTTGCTGCGAGTGGTTAGTAGTGTCGTTCAGCAGGCAAAAACACAACGCCATGGAGCACCACAGCCAGTCTTGATCAAACACGGAAATGCGTTCCGTGGTTTGAAGAAACGGCAACTCTGATCGCGTCCACCTGCGTCCGTGAGATCGGCTGCCGAGCGGCCGAACCTGAGAACCAAAGTCGACGGCTGAGGAGCTTCCGTGCGACGAATTACTCGAAGATGGTGTTGTTGTGGCGACACAAAAGTGGACCTCCAAGTGGTCCAAGGACTTTAGGCCAACTTGTGCTGTGTCTCTCCCTGCTTATTACGGTGAGTTTCCAAAATTTCTCCACATTGTTTTAATACTGATTATCATTCCGAGAGAAAATTCGAAATTTCCTTTCGTATTTCGAACGATCCCCCATGCACAGGTGAATGGCGTTGGCACCTGCATTCCTCTCGAAAGGTCTCCTTTTCTAGAAGGCTATTGGCCTCGACAGTGCCACTTTTCTATTTCGCTTTATTTTAAAGGCATTTTGAGAAAGAAAAAGGGCTATTTCCATTCGGGGCGCGGAAAAATGCGCCGTTGCGGCAGAAAAGGGGTGTGTCACCCTTAAGCGAATGCACCCGGGTGCATTCCAAACGAGGTTTTGATTTTGTTGGAAAGAAACCGCATTGTTCATTCTTTCTTTACCTCTGCAACCAAAGCTTCAAACTTTGGACCGACGGCTGGTCTGGAAAAATGCTTCTTATCGCTTAATTTGTCAGAATCGACTGGAGATTAATAAGAGAAACGTCTATAGACACGTTCGAAAAGTTACTCAGTTGGTTTGGTTTAGGAGCAAGTCACGTGCTGATCACAAGTGCTGCCTGCTGAAAAAAATTGTTAAAAGTTGCCGGAAAGTCTTCATAAATTAACCTGAAGTCTTATGATAATTTGTCTAGATCTATGCAGTAAAGATTTTAAAGGAAAATTTCACTTATTGAGGAATGTTATTTTTTTTTTTTTATTGATTTGAACCAACTCTGTATAAGTTTGATTTTATTAGTTAAAAAATTTGAATTCGCTCAAAAAGGAAATCGTCTAAGATAATGTGACTAAAATATTTCTGTGAAAGTTTTTTTTTTAATAATTATTCATACCAAGTTTTCTGTAACCCAAATTTTATTCTGAAAAAAAGAACAGCTTTCTAAATTTTGGATTGAAATAATTTAAACCACTTAAAATCTTTAACACTTCTTCATTTCATATAATTTTTCCCCACCCAAAAATTAAGCCGTAGTTTTATGAAATTTTAAAGCGTTCATTAATATCTAATCAATTATTTCAATTTATTGTATTTTAATTCAATGCCGTCGCGCTCATTAGCCGTGAGTTATTTATGGAGTTGTTTTGAAAAGTCGGTTGGTTTTTTGCCCTGAGGGAGATTCCTTTTTGCTCAAGACGAGTTTTGAGAGCTTTCCTGCCGCGTCACTCTCCACTTTTGCTTCTTCTGGAATAAGTATACAATTTCGTCCCAAATAACTTATGTATTGATGGAGAGACTTTGCATGTTTTGCTAGAAATACACGAATGTGCTGAGCGCCAAGATTTATAGGAAAATTTTTACTCAGAACTCGAAGCCAAGGTGGCATTGACACAGTTCGAGCATAGTGAACTGTAATTTATAATTTACGATTTACGTGCGCGGATCTTAAAGTTAAACCGACGTGAACGTGCATTGAAGTTATTTTTATATCGAGACTTAGAAAAAAATATTTCAATTTGTAATACTTTTTCGCACTTGAAGCTTTGAAGCAATTCACTGATCAAGAGCAAACAGGGCGAGTAATTTCAAATAAATCCTTGATTGTGATTACTAGGCTTGAAGAAGCAGTGAGGGGTGAAGGGAACTTACAATAAGAAGAGAGGCGGAAGCTAATTTTCATTCTTAAATGCCGAAAGGATTTCAGAATTTCAACAAAAGTATATTTAAAAAATTTCAAATATATTTCCATTTTGACAGAAAACGCTCATTATTATTTTATCGATCAGCATAAATCTTTCATAATAAAATCTAAGCCGTGCATCGCTCTCGGTCATTGCAGTTTAGAGTTTAATGCGGGGTTGTGTGCCGGCAGGTCTATTACGAGACCTGGTCCATCGATCAGTTTGCGAAGCGCTCGACGACAGAATTACAAAACGCTGATCGGACGTTAAAATGTGAAGATGCATTGGGAACAGTGAGATTAGTCATCCAAATTGTACAGAGCTTAAAGGGATATTAATTTGCTGGCTGGACAAAAATCCCCGTCTAGGGTCACATGTGCTGCCTTGTGACCACGTCGTTGTCACACATTAAACTCGCGAGATGAAATGTAATCCGCGACGGGTGGCCGTGAATGTGCGCATCCGAGCGATCGACACACGCAGAGTCGAAACAAATTGCAAAGTGGACGCAGACTTCAGTGGAGGTCATCCTCATCTGACGAGGTGGACCTTTCAAAATATAATTATATTAAAGACGAATCGTCCGATTCGCATGTAAAATAAAGAATAATAAAGTGGTAGTTTTTAAATTCTGGTTAAAACAAACATGGAAAATATGTTTTCTTTATTATTCTGCTTAATTATGGTAATATGAATAATAAATTTATTTAAATTGTCTTGTGCAAAACCAAATATTGTTATTAAAAGTTCTCAAGAGACCTAAAACAAGCATTTACTCCAAAATGTGGGAAAATTGTTTTGAACTTTTCACTTTTCATCAACTTTGAAAAAAGAATTTCAAATTTTACCTAGCGTGGTTTTATCTTGAAGACCAGTGTCCTATGTAAAAAAAACACCTCTGGTTGATTTCCAAGACCCTCCTTTTTTTAGAGATTTCATTCAAATTTTCATTTCTTATAAATTTACAATTAAATTGAGCGTGGCACGTTTCCAAAAATTAAAATGTGATTAGAATTTTGAAGTAAAATTCATTTTTTTTAGAAGATACACGAAAAGAATCCAGATTATTATTATGCTCATCTTTTAGTTACAATTAATTTATATGTAATCAATATTCATTAGTTCATTAAATAAATATTCAAGGCGATCACAAGTTTCCTTTTTTAAACTTTCTATTTCTCGTCGTTTCTATTTATAAACATGATAGAAGTTAATTGATCATTACGCAATAACCGACTCGCTAACTTTATTTTATAATAAAAGCTCAAATACGTCAAGCCCTCTCATTAACACACGTCTGCTAGTTAGTAAAAAACAACCTGTTGTTGTTTTCGCTACTCGCCTTTTCTCTCTTCCACTCATTTGAAATTGTTATAGAAAAGTCATCTGATTCTGATGGAGACGTATCCCCTCTCTTCAGAGAAATATTTTTCCGTCTCTTCCGCACCACTGACTCCCGTTTCCCACAAGAACGTCTCTCGCTCTTACGTAATTAAATCGGCCACGATTGAGGAAAAATGAATTTCCTCTCTGTGCTTTGTGAATCACGTGTTAATCTCGCACTTGAACAACAGAGTGAATCAGTCTGAAAAATGCGTCAAATAAAATCATTTCTATCTATAAAGAAAAATAAAGCATGATGCGATGGAGGAAGAAGTGGACTGCGTCAACTTGCGCTATCAAAGTACACCTGTTTCAATAGTTAATCTTATCAGCTTGGTGGAATTAAAATCATAAAATATAATACGAAGTGTGTGTACATTTTGATGTGAGCAGAGCAAGGAACATATATTCCAACGGTATGTGATTTCAAGCCAAAAATTAAAAAGGAAACTGTAAATGAAATTTAAGTTTAAATTTAAAAAACATAATAAATTTGATTTTTTTTTGTTATTAAGAATTATTTTACAGTTTTAGGTCGCTTTCTGCGTTGTTTGTCATTTGTTTTGATAAGCGTGACGTTGTTGCGAGACTTCTAGACAATGACAATGAAGAATTTGTGTCAAGCTGAACTGATTTGAAATGCCAAAAATAAATAAGAACAATGTTAGGTTTGTAAAAATTGACACCAGACTGATAAAAACCATAAAAACCGTGGTTAAGTAAGACAAAATTTTCCATCAGATGATAGAATTTATTTCTATATGAAAAAGCAGCTTGTAATTATTTGAACAAAATTATAACTGCACCTCAAACTTCGCAATTCTAAATGCCCTGCCAATTTTACCAACAATTTTACACACTTGGCCGGTGGAGCATGACACTGGCCCCGATCTGCTGGAAAATGGACCGCGAAATAAATGATCTGCCGATTCTTTTTTTACTCGATTTATCGCGGCTCTTCTGGGAATTATTTTTTGTGCAGAGGATTATCCTCGACTCATTTTTTGGCTCGGCCAGGTGTGCCGCTCGGCCAACTTATAACTTATCTGCACTGTTTGCTCGGGAGCAGATAAAGCGACGAGCAATTATTGCGTCAACTCTTAATTCTTTTCGCAACACACGCGTGCACCTGGTCAAATGCATTACTCTGCGAAAAAGAATTCCTTTGCCTCGGTAATGGAAGTAAAAGCTGTGAACACTTTTGTCTTCGGCAATTCTTATCAGCGCTTTTTGCGTTGGCATCTTATCGCGTCAATTATGACAAGCGGTCAGCGCACGCACTTTGGAGCACAAAATGCTAGAGTAAAAATTTGTTAAAATGAAGGAAGGCAACCAAATTTCACATCCAAATAATTTCCACCTGGAAATTTAAAAAGTTAAAGAATACCAACTTCATATTATATCAACCGCCAATAAAGCTTGATAATTTTGGTTTAAATATTGTTATTTTCAAGTAAGATTATCAGAATATTTATCACGAAGAATTTTCTGCTTGTGCAGTAATACATTGTCCATGTCACATTTAAACCAGATATTTACTAAATACAAATTTGATCAAATTAAAGAAGGGCATAACTAATTAATACAATTTGTTTAAATTTCAAGAAAAATTTATTAAAACAGAGATTTATTTTTATTTCATTTTTAATTGTAAGCAAGGAGCTCTAGTATCTTTTTGTATAATTCCTCTTTTTAAATTCAAAGTCTGGTACTTTTTTCGCAGCAATCATCTTTCAACTGACCGCAAGTGACACTCAGAACTTCCTCACTTTTATCAGTTTGACTGGAAGTGGCTTGGATTGTATAACACGCGTTGAATAACTTTATATTTTTGCCCTTTCTTTAAAAGGGCGTCGCCGCGGTTCCCTCTATAAACCAAGGTCAAGTCACCCGCCGTGTATTTACATAAAATTACATGCACGCCTCGTAAAAAGCACCCCTGCCTGCCGTACAATAAGTATAGAGTGTGTCGGACAATAAAATTTCCCACTCTGGCGCGAATTTCGTGGAAAAGTCG